GTTTAAAGTTAAAACCATTGTAAACACTTCAAAATAAGTATTTTTATGACTTTAATTTGTCAATATCTATTCATTATCTATCAAAATGTGAACTTTCTAATTATTTCCCTCCCTCAGCTCATTACTGATGATCTTTATTTTTGCAGGGAAGGTGTCTAAGTGACGTTTTTTTCGGGATTGGACAAAAAGGCGATAAGGTGTATGAGAATTGCAAGTTTGGCTTTACTCAGAATAATTTTAAATGTGTGAAATACTGAAATATACGAGTTTGTGAATGAACTGCCAGGTATCGGGTTTGTTCGCTCCCAATACAAGTTCGCACCCCACAAATTCACCCTCTGGATTCGTTTGCACAATATTTTTATTCAAATACTGGTTGAATGATTAGATGTTTTTTAGATGTATTTATCAAAATATTTAATAAAAATTTGGAAATTTTTAAATGAAATATTTTTTTTGTGATTTGATGATTAATGATTAAGTGTTAATTAGGTATGATTATTGTTAATTGGTATTTACAAAGCCAAATTTGGTATTATTCATTTTTCAAAGAGAACTACGAGTTTATGATAAAAACTGTCAGATCTATAAACCCAAACATTGATATTGTCATATCAGAAATTTGTCCAAGACGGAACGTAAATACAGATGTTTATAATACTATCTTACATAGGATTTCAACAGAACTTAACTTTAAAATCATCAAACAAACGGATGCATTTGTTTCCAGAGGCGGCGATCTTGTGTCTACTTACTATCACCGTGATGGCATACACCTTACTAATCAGCGTACAATTCAGCTACTTAGAAACATTAACAGGGTTGTAAACATCTTCATCCGCACAAACAGTTCTCAGTCCAATAATGAAAATAATGAACAGTATGGTAAAAGACAAAGCATTGTAAATACATTCAATGGTATCTGCTTTAATTGTGGCTTTTATGGTCATCATTATAAAGACTGTCACAAATTTTAGGATAAAACTGATGTATTTCAATTTGTAGACAAATTCCCAAATCATAGTAAATCATTACTTCTTCATAACAATTTTGATATACTTCTCTATTTATGTCCAAATTGCAATACATCAAAATGTATATGTACTCAAAACTCTATGTCTGAAGCTGAGATTTTTAAAAACAAAAATTCCAGGGAAAATTGTCATACATCAGAAAACGGTATTTGCACTAATAGCTTTAGCTCAAAACCTAAAAGTGATAGAAACAAACATTATAAAAAAAAACTGTCTTAATCTAAAATGTAAAGGTTTCAATGCTGTATGCCTTAATGTTAGACATATTTAATCTAAATTTGACGAGTTAAAGAATATAATTACTATAAACAACAAATATTTAGATTTATTTGGATTAGTTGAAACATTCTTAAAACCTGATATTAACAATGAACAATGTAAAGTGCCAGGATACAAAATTTTCAGAAAAGATCGCCAGAGTAAGGATGGTGGTGGTCTATTTGTTTATGTCAAAGATTCTATTGCAGTTAAAAATAGATCTGATTTATCAATAAACACATTAGAAACTTTATGGTTAGAGGTAGAATTTCCAAAATCTAAACCTTTCTTCATTTGTACTGTTTACAGACCACCAAATTCCCCTCAGTCCTGGATAGATCTTTTTGAGGAGGAATTTAATGCAGCTCTTTCAGAAAACAAAGAGATCATTTTAATGGGGGACTTTAATATTGACTTGATAAAAATTGAAAATAAAAAATGGATGAATTTCATAAACCATTTTAATCTTCAACAACGAATTTGCACTGCAACCAAATGTGACAAATCAGAAACTCTTATTGATCATATTTACACTACTAATCCTGAAAATATTGCTCATTGTCATGTTCCTTCATATGCTTTAAGTGACCTTTACCCTGTATGCTTAAATAGAAAAATCAATATAAAGGTAAAGAAAGAAAATCATATCGAAATAAAGTATAGGTGTTTCAAAAACTTTAATGAAGATGCCTTTTGTGCAGACTTACATCAAACCCCTTTTCATATTGTTGAAATGGAAGAAGATATTGATATTTCTGTCGACAAATGGTATGAACTTTTTAATCAAGTTATTAACAAGCACGCACCAATGAAAACTAAAAGAGTAAAAACATTTAAACAAGCCGAATGGTTCAATGAAGAAATTAAAAATTCCATTCAATACAGAAATATGTATCATTCAAAAAAAGATTGGGTAAACTTTAAAAAGTGGCGTAATAAAACAACGTCGTTAATATTTAATGCAAAAAAGGAATATTATCAAAACGCTATATCTAGTTCCAAAAATAGTAAACAACTTTGGAATCACATTAAAGAGTTAAATCCAAAAATGGATAATATTTTTCCACCTAAAATGCAGTATGAAAATCAAACTGTTTATAACCCCAAAGATATTGTTAATACACTAAATGTTCATTTTTCTTCCATAGCTGAAAAACTTATTGGAAATAATACTTCAGATATGGATTTTTCTAAGCTACAAACTTTTACTAGTACAAAATTAAAGGAAACTGAATTTTTTAAATTAATATCATTTCTGTTGGAGAGGTGTGTTCACAACTAAAACACATTAATATTAATAAATCTGCAGGTTTAGATGGAATTGGTCCAAAACTTTTAAAGCTAAGTGCAGAGATAATATCGCCATCACTAACTTTTCTAATAAACAAAAGTATAACGTCGAATCGTTTTCCGCAAAAATTAAAACTTGCAAGAGTAACTGCTATACATAAAGGAGGACCAACAGATATTCCCTCCAATTATCGTCCAATTTCTATTTTAAATACCATATCTAAAATTTTTGAGAGACATGTATGTACACAGTTATATGCATTCTTAAATAATAAAAAAATGTTACATATCGCTCAGTCAGGTTTCAGACAAGGTCATTCATGTCAAACAGCGCTGACTAAACTAATTGATGAATGGTTAAAATATTTAGACAATGGAGAAATAGTTGGTACTGTGTTTTTAGATTTCAGTAAGGCTTTTGACCTTATTCATTGTTATTAACCATGCCATACTTTTAGAAAAGTTAAAATTTTATCATGTCGGAGAACATATGATAGATTGGATAAAATCATATTTGTCTGAGAGACAACAAGAAGTTCAATACGCTAACATTAAATCTGATAAATCGTTTGTAAAAAATGGAGTGCCTCAAGGCTCTATTTTAGGTCCTCTCTTATTTTTAATTTACATAAATGATTTACCACTTCATGTTAAACAATCCGACATGGATTTATATGCTGATGATTCAACATTGCATTTTCATAATAAAAACATTGAAATAATAAACATCATATTGCAAAATGATTTAAATGCTATACAATCTTGGTGTAACAATAACAGTATGAAAATTAATGCACAAAAAACAAAGTGTATGAAATTGGGTTCAAAACAAAAACTTACACAACTATCAGAATTATGTATTACCGTCAATGAAACATGTATTGAAAATGTCCATTCTTTCAAATTACTTGGAATTGACATTGATGAAAATTTAAGCTGGGAGGATCATGTTGATCGTATATATGCAAGATTATCTCATCTAAAATATCACTTTTGTTTAAAATTAAAGTATATTTGCCTATACACACAAGACAACTATTTTATAATGCATATATTCTACCATATATAGACTATTGTAGTTCAGTTTGGGGAAATTTATTACAAAAAGATTCAGATAGAATCATAAAACTTCAAAAAAGAGTAGCAAGAATTATACTTGAATGCGATATTTCTGTTCCATCTAATTTTATGTTTTCATCTTTAAAATGGCTATCTTTTACCAAAAGAATTAAATACCAACAATCAATTCTAATGTATAAAATTGTAAATGGACTAACACCTGATTACTTAACAATGCTAAATATTAATGATGTGCAACACCACAACTTACGATCTGTCTCTAATAATGATCTATTTGTTCCAAGACCAAATACAAATTTTTATAAAAAAATCTTTTCATTATTCTGCAACAAAGGTATGGAATAATTTACCACTCAAAATAAAAAATTGTGGAAATGTGGAATTATTTAAGAAACATTGTTATAATCATTTTCTTGAAAATTCTATGCAAGTCGAATAATTTGTTTTCTTTCTTTTATTGTAAGAATAAGAAAATTTAATCAAACTTTACCAATTATTGCCATTTATTGCCATTTGTATGTTTGAATGATTGAATTGTGTATATACTAGTAATATATATTGTATTTTAATGTATGAATGTATGAACATGATGAATGTTTACTGTATACATGTATTTTGTTTGAGGGCCTCAATGAAAATTAGACTACTTCTAATTGAGTTACCCTCTTTAAATAAAGAATTTATTATTATTATTATTATTGTTCTGTGTTTGAAAATCATGATTGTTGTTATAAGTAGCTTTGATGTAAATACAACATGTAGCTTGGTATGAATAAAATCAAAGAAGATTTGGTATCTTCTGGCCTTCTTTTTAATACAAGTCTTAGATGAATGAACTTCGCCTTATTCTTCATGACAATCTTTTATTCATGATTCATTTCTTCAAAATAATTAATAAAACACTAAAGGAAACAATAAGTTATAAGAATATTACTTTATTTTGAGGAAACAATACAAAAAACTTATTTATAGCAATACATTTTCTTGAACACGATTAAAAATGTATTCACACAAAACCTATAAAAAGGGTACAAACGGACACAGGGTGTAAATGTGAAGGGTGCAAACCTGAAAAGGGGTGAACATGAATGGGAGGCAACGTGAAAGGGGGCGAACGTGAATGGTAGCGAACGTGATTTATGGCGAACGGACCCAGATTCCTGCCACATTTGATCTGGGGTCGTTTGGGTTAAACGAATCATATGACATTTAGAAAAGATGATTGATTTGAGGCGTCAATTTTTTACTGGAAAAGCACCATGTAATGTATAGGGGGAGTTTAGGCATTGATATCTTTGCCAACATTCCGCTCAGCACAATGTTAGTAGTATGTTTAACCTTTAATGTGACATCACACAATTTCCCCTGTCTTCTGATGTCTTCGAACACAGGAAATGCTGTCTTTGGTAGATCTTCTTTCACGAAAACAGATACATCGTCAGCCATATTTGTTTTGCAAAGAGACATATTCAGGAAAGGAAAAGAAACAGCTTGTTTGTTTACGATAATCACAGATTATATCTGGTGAGATTGATTCTAACAATGTGAAATATAGCTTAAAACCTATATTAATGTTTAAAAAAAGCATAACACAACGAACTCAAAACCTGAGATGTTTTAGTAATCTTAGAAGAAACACATTATCAGAGATATATAATACGATGTCTCTGCCGACATTATTTAGCCAAAATGCATGCCAAAAATGTATCTTTCTATTACAATAGTCTGCAAAAATGATTGTCTTCTTTGTACTGTATATGTTGTGATTTTTTCATAACGTCAGTGTAGAGAAATCAGACGCAAGACAAGAATATTTTACGTAATTATAGAATTTTGAACAATAACTAATATAGGGGACGACCATTTGATATTCTTGGGGCAGGTGGATTTTTTTCTGGATTGATAATTTATTTTCATCTGTTGCCTACGCTAATTTATTTTCAGTTTTGTAAACATTTGATACTGTGTTTAGTGTTGCGTAATATTCATTTTCATCCTGTTTTGTGCAAAGTTATTCATTTTCAACTTATCAGGCTAGTTATTAATTTCATAATCCTTCTGTCCCCTCCCTCCCAGAAAATAAAATGATCACTTAATTTACTACTGTAATCCTACTTATGAAGTTTATGTATGTAAACTAAAACTGTAACAAAATACTTTTAATTTCCGGAAACAGTTGATTTATTTGAATCTCAGGTATTAAATGTGACCCTCAACAGTAAACCATTTGCAATGGGTTTTTTTACCGATTCTGGTTTCTTAGGTTAGGGTCATGTCGGACACTAGGACCTTATTCGATCACCCGTTCACAAGCCAAATACCACATGTCGGATAAAAGCTTAATAAAGCTTATGTCCTTGTTTTTGAATACAATGCCGACTCTAAATAAAGCTTATTCATTATTATTATTTATTGATCAAACCGACTAGAACTAGCATGGCAGTTAGAGTCTATGAGACAATTATAACAGCTGGTTACAGAGGGAATGAATATATTTTGTAATACCGTTTGTTTCAAGAATTATAAAGAATTTATAAGCATGTTGCCAATCAACTGAAATATTACAGTTCTAGCGTTAAAATCCTTTGATTAGAAATTTCTCTTCTTCTTCTTTAGATATCCAGGTTTACATAAGATTTTTGATGATATCTAACTGCTGTTCGGTATGTGTAGGGTACACATTTTGTACAACATCATAAGTCTGGTATTAGGTCTGCATTAATTCAATGTAAGGTAGGCCATGTTTACCACACTTATAGTTTATGGTACTTCCAACAATTAGCTACTCCAACATAAAAACCCAATTTCGACACCGAGTAATTAAAACTAATAGAAATGCAAAACGGCGTCATTAGAAAAACAGAAAAAGAAAAGGGACTCGGTATTGAGCATGTTACAACGAAGGAGGTAAATACAGCCATAGAAGAAAACCTAAGCAGGAAAGGCACCAGACGAAAACGGAATATCGGTTGAACACTATAAGTATGATGGATGAGTAAACTCCCTTTAAAGTACATGTGGTTAATATAATTTTAGCATATTTAGATGTTCTTATCTTCAAAAAACTGGGATTCTAACATACACCAATCATGAAAATAGTTATCAAAGGTACCAGGATTATAATTTAATACGCCAGACGCGCGTTTCGTCTACATAAGACTCATCAGTGACGCTCAGATCAAAATAGTTATAAAGCCAAACAAGTACAAAGTTGAAGAGCATAAAAAGGTGAAAAGATAAGACAACCGATGCTACAATGTAGCTATAGAGGAATAACTGTAACATAGACATTTGCCAAAATACTGCAAAGTATACTGTGAGTTGATCAGATACTGTTATTAACACCATTCAAAATAGTCTATAAAGAGGATTTACAGATGGAGTATCTTCCTTATGTGCAGCATTTCTAACATCAGAAGCAATTGAAGAAAGTAAGAAACTGAAGATATCGAGGCAGAAAAAGCGTTTGATAAACTGAACCATGAAATCCTATTCAATAAACTGTCCCATCATAGAATAAAAAGGAAACTGTTGGTACTTCTTAAAAACTAGTAAATAGAGACATGAGTATTATGATAATAAAGGAAGGATAATATACGGAAGAGGTTCGTCTACTGCAGGGTATACTTGTACATACTTGAAGGCGCAAAATTATCAACTACCCTTTAAAAATGTAATAACAATGTAATGTAACACTGGATAGTATTGTCAAATGTAGCCTTGGAGCAAGGATTGGTGAATTATTGTCTTCCCGTACTCTAATTCACTGACAGCTTTTCCGTATGCAGTGACCGTAATCCCGACAGCTCTCATTAGAAATTCGGCAACCACACAGCGCAAGTACGAAAGAAAAAAAGCTATAAAAAATAAGGAAGACAAACATTGAAATGGAAGATATCATCGATCGATTCTAAAAGAAAAAATGTCATACGCTAAATCATATAACATGTGTTATGACAAAGTTAAATTAACAAACTGGAAAGCATGGAAAATTTAAAAAAAAACTCAAATAAACGTCTTACTTATTTTTCACGTACTTCATGATTCCATGTTGATAGTTTATCAAGGTCACATTCGATAAACTTCGAGAAAAAAAAACCCGAATGCTAATAAGCAGCCAAGGTTTTCTCTCAACAATCAATGGATGAAATATTTATTTGTCGATTATACGCTACGGATTCGTAATAAATATGAAAAACCCGCTCAGAGGACTTCGTTCTGTATATATGCATGCATTGGTTCAATAATTTTACTAACTTTACAATCACAAGAAACTTCTTTTATATGACTTTAAGTATAATAAAAATAGTACACTTCATTCTTAGATAATGAAATATTCCTACTATTCAGCTTGAAGATCTATTCATAAAAAAAAATCGTTTGCACTGAGGAGAGTGGACATCACACCTATGACACCTGTAAGGCTATATAAGCTTGTCAAACTCCGTAACCCAGATTGGACAGACGACACTAAACAGATTGTAGAACAACTACTAACATATAACTCAGTTAAGACGTCACTGTACCTTCAAAGATCTCTAAATATACCCGGACTACCCAAGACAACAGCAGAAATCAATCTTCAAGACAAATGGTTCCGTACTACTAAAGGAGATAAGTTTCTTCTACTATCTGACAACATCAACCCACCAATGCTTATATACTTAACTACAGACAACCTTAGACCTTGCTTCTGTTGACACTTTCTTCTGTGATGGAACCTTCTAAACATGCCCAACCCTGTTCCACCAGCTTTACACAATCCACGCAATGGTTGATGGTGCAATGTACCCACTGGCATACAGCTTATTGCCAGGAAAAGATACTGACAACTACACAAGATTATTCAGTCATCTACAGTATATATCTCAACAGCACCAACTACTTCTTCAACCCAGCACCATATTCATCGACTATGAAACAGCCACGAACATTGCAGCTCATATCGTCTTCCCTGGTGTTCAAGTCAAAGGTTTCTTTTTCCACTTTACCCAATGTATTTGGCGAATGGTGGACTGCAGACTTACTACAAAGAAAACGACGACATCACCAAGCTTGTTCGACGGGCAGCAGTCTTACCATAAGTACCCCATGACCAACTTGAAGATGTTTGGCTAGACACATTAGAAGAAATAGCTGAAGCAGAGAATGTTCCTGACACAACCACTATTACAGATTATGTCACCGAATATTGGGTTGAAGGACACCGCTTCCTCACGAACCACTATCTGACTGATGGACCACGCACTACCAACCACTTGGAAAGCTGGCACAGTAAAATCAAGAAGATGGTCCAACACGCACACCCAAATATCTATGAGATAATTGAGGTGCTTTAGAAAACTCAAGCATTCAATGAGTGTACCATCATACAGTATGCTGCAGGAGGGGCCCGTCAACCAAAAAGACGCAGATACAGAGAAATCTATGCAAGACTTCAGGGACTGAAAGCTAAATATGAACAAGGACTTGTGAGTGTGTTAGAATACGCAGATGCAGCATCACACCTTCTGCACTTAAATTAAAGACATTCTTGTACATGAAATTTATAATTGTTTCCAATGTTATGTTTGCATGATATTATGTTTGAGGCTTTAAATGCAAATTTCAGTGCTAATGATATTTATGAAATATTAACAATGTTAACTGTTTTAGTGCTATTGAAAATATATATCAAAATCTATTTATTATTCATTTTCATTTATCTCCTTCAAAGAATCAATTCAATGAAAATTTTACAACCAAATATATGAAGAAGAAAAAAATACATTTTAATATGCATCAATTGCATACAAACTTATCCTATGGAATTTTACAGAGATATATGTACATATAAAATAGCAACATAACTGGAACAGACTATACAATTTTCCAATCAGTAAATCTTTAGTCTTTTTATTTGTCTATACAGGAACATATATATATATATATACTGTTCCCAGGTCTATATAACCATTTGATAATTGGAGTAATTAAAAGTGGGCAAACCAGGATGCATCCAAGTATTATTACTTTCTTTATTTTATATGATTTTTTTTGGCATTGTGTTATTTGAATTGTTTATATACCTTATTTCTTAAAAAAAAATCATTTAGCACTTTTTGGTATGTTACTGCTTAAAATTATTTTGTGGTATGTAGTATTATTTTTGAAAGGTTTTGTGAAGAAACAATTTGTCAAGAGCATATAAATCAGCTGATCATGTGACAGTAAGAAAATGGCAAATGTAAACGAACTATTCTCCTCTGTGTTGTTTCTTATTTTTTCTGTTTCTCAGTCTGTTAAATACGAGCCAACATGGAATTCTTTAGATTCAAGACCACTGCCATCATGGTATGATGAGGCAAAACTCGGCATTTTTATTCACTGGGGTGTCTTTTCTGTTCCCAGTTTTACTTCGGAATGGTTCTGGTACTATTGGAGAGGACCCAAACCACAGAAGTCAGCTGTTGATTTCATGAAGAATAATTTCAGGCCAGACTTTACTTATGCCGACTTTGCATCACAGTTCACTACTGAATTTTATAACCCTGACGAATGGGCAGATATTTTTGCCGCATCTGGTGCGAAGTAAGTGTGTACAGTAGTCCGTACACTCCTTCTCCTTCTTGGAATGTATATGGGAAAATATCTTCTTCTTCTTCTGTTTGTCTGTCCTTGACCATTTTAAATTAGTAATGTAACAATGATATGACATATTTGGTATCAGATCCATTCGCCCATAGTCTGGCCAAAGAGACTGTTGCCCTATTTAAAAAAAAAAAATTTATATTAATGGTATTTGGATTTCTAAATGTATATACATTTGCACCTTTGCCAATATATTTAAAAAAAAATATATTAAAGAAAATATGTATAATATCTTAAAATTCATGAAAAAACATGGAAATATTTTTAAATTAAATTGCTTGTTTAAGCGAGCAATGATGAGATGATTGGCTTCATTGTTACATTGTTTTTATTTAGAATTAATTTTAATAACTGTCATGATGGTTGTAATGCTTGCAGGCTAATGAGGTATAATTATGATGTCTGATCTCGTCTTTGGCGGTTTGATAATGAAAGTTTAAATGAATTAATCCGCTTGGAACACAGGCACTTGTCTCTAAAAAAAAATGGTCAGAGATAAGTGCCTGTGGGTTGGAATGATTATGGAATCAATTCATTCTTCCATAAAGTATATACATACAGATAACTTGGTAAAACATCATGAACATGTAAACAGAAAAGAAAAAAAAAATAGAAGAGAAAAAAAACCCAGATACAAAATGTAACTTGGACTACGGTTGTTTTATAATAAATACCTTGTATACCTATGCACTTCAGTGCAAATCAAAGGAAAATAATTAATATTCTATGAAATTTTCAACACACTTCAACATACTCTATTCAAATACTATATATTATACTATTATACAACAAGACAACAAAATGAAATCAGAATCGGGCTAACGGGTATTAGGGTGAACAGGTACATGTAATAGGGCGACATGAATCAAGGCGAATGAACCCGGATTCCCTTGTGAAAATGACTCCTCTGAGTCTGATTTACAGAATGCTCTCATACTTGGTAAGATTGTTTGTCATCGTGTGTAGTAGATCATATTATACTGGCATTTTGTTTTGATCTATTAGACTGTTTTACAGAAAGCTCTCACACTTGTGTAGTTGACCATAATTTCAAAACGTTTTGATTTGACCTTTTTTTTTAAGTATTGTGACAATGACACCTTTTGAATGCAACTCCTCTGAGACCATTTGACAGAGGGCACTTATACTTGGTACTATATTGTTTGTCCTCTTGTGTAGTTGACCATAATCTTGGCATTAAATGTCATTTTGATTTGATCATCTTTACAGGAGTTATAGTACTTTGACCATTTTTTGAAGTATTGTAAAAGTGTCAACTTGTTAATGTAACTCTTCAAAGACCATTTGACATCAAGCTCTCATACTTGGTAGGATTTTTTGTCATTATGTGTAGTTGAGCATAATATTCCATGGATTTTATTTTGATCATAAGTCAAAAACTAATGCAGATAGAGCAAATTTGACATAGGTGAAAGTACATGTATCTCTCCTGCAGAATTCTCAGAAAAATCAGACAACCTATTTTGGAGTTTTTAACCCTGAAATGTCAGTTTTTAGTAAGTTTTTGACTAGCAAATTTGACATGCATAAGTAGAATAAATCAGCAGGTCAAGGTCTATCTCCTGAGGAATTTTCAGAATAACAACAACCTGTTTTAGAGTTAATTGCCCCTGAAATGTCAATTTAAAAAAAAAATCACAGTTTTTGGCTATTTTCCTAAAATTATAACTGATAGAGAGAACTTTTAAACAGTAAACATGACTAGAACAATATAAGATCGGCAAACAAATCAAATTTATATCATTTCGATTTTTAATTTTTATACGACCGCAAAAATTTTTGCGGTCGTATATTGGTATGACGTTGGCGTCGTCATCATCATCGTTGTCGTCGTCGTCGTCCAAAGACACATTGGTTTTCGCACTCTAACTTTAGTTTAAGTGTATGGATCTCTATGAAATTTTACCATAAGGTTCAATACCACAAAAGGAAGGTTGGGATTGATTTTGGGGGTTATGGTACCAACAGTTAAGGAATTAGGGGCCAAAAAGGGGCCAAAAATAAGCATTTTTGTAACTTCCAGACATAACTTGTGTGTTAGTGTATGGATCTCTCTGACATTGTACCACAAGGTTCCATATCACAAAGGGAATGCTGGGATTGATTTTGGGGGTAATTGCCTCAAAATATTAGGAATTAGGGGCCAAAAAAGGGGCAAAAAACAAGCATTTTTCTAGTTTCATGACAATAACTTGTGTGAAAGTGTATGGATCTTTCTGAAATTGTACTACAAGGTTCCATATCACAAAGGGAAAGCTGGAATTGAGTTTGGGGGTAATTGCCCGAAAAGTTTAGGAAGAAGGGGCCAAAAAGGGGCCAAAAATAAGCATTTTTCTAGTTTCCAGACAATAACTTGTGTTCAAGTGTATGGATCTCTCTGAAATTGTACTACAAGGTTCCATATCACACAGGGAATGCTGGGATTGATTTTGGGGGTAATTGCCTCAAAATTTTAGGAATTAGGGGCAAAAAAAGAGGCAAAAAACAAGCATTTTTCTAGTTTCATGACAATAACTTGTGTGTAAGTGTTTGGATATTTCTGAAATTGTACTACAAGGTTCCATATCACAAAGGGAAAGCTGGAATTGAGTTTGGGGTTATTGCCCGAAACGTTTAGGAATTGGGGGCCAAAAAGGGGCCAAAAAACACATTTTTCTAGTTTCCAGACAATAACTTGTGTTCAAGTGTATGGATCTCTCTGAAATTGTACTGCAAGGTACCATACCACAAAGGGAAGGCTGGGATTGAGTTTGGGGGTGATGAATCATAAGGGGGTTCAAAAAATTGGGGGGGGGATTTTTTTTTTTTTTCCTTTTTTTTCTTTTTTTCCTTTTTTTTTCTTTTAAAATTTTCCATTTTAAGTTGGTTATTTCTGATTTATATTTAAAAGCAAATAATAATGATATGGTAGGAGATACACACCAAACAGGATGTGTAAATTATTATATAATAAGTATTGTGCAATAGCAAGAAATTTTCAATTGCACAGTATTGCACAATAGCAAGAAATCTTCAATTGCACAGTATTGCGCAATAGCAAGAAATCTTCAATTGCACAGTATTGCGCAATAGCAAGAAATATCCAATAGCACAATATTGCGCAATAGCAAGAAATTGTCAATTGTGCAGTATTGCGCAATAGCAAGAAATATTCAATTGCACAGTATTGTGCAAAAGAAGATACTTCGTATAAATTGCTTATTTCTTGACCAATTTCAATGGGGTTTTATTCTTGAATTCTTGGGGTTCTTTAATATGCTGAATCTAACTGTGTATTAAGTTTTTGGATTTTGGGCCCCGTTTTTAAATTGGTCCACATTGAGGTCCAAAGGGTCCAAAATTAAACTTTGTTTGATTTCATCAAAAATTGAATTATTGGGGTTCTTTGATATGCCGAATCTAACCGTGTATTTAGATTCTTAATTTTTGGTTCCGTTTTCAAATTGGTCTACATTAAGGTCCAAAGGGTCCAAAATTAAACTAAGTTTGATTTTAACAAAAATTGAATTCTTAGGGTTCTTTGATATGCTGAATCTAAACATGTATTTAGATTTTTGATTATGGGCCCAGTTTTCAAGTTGGTCCAAATGGGGGTCCAAAATTAAACTTTGTTTGATTTCAACAAAAATTGAATATATGGGGTTCTTTGATATGCTGAATCTAACCATGTATTTAGATTTTTGATTTTTGGGCCCCGTTATCAACTTTGTCCACATTGAGGTCAAAAGGGTCCAAAATTAAACTTTGTTTGATTTCATCAAAAATTGAATTCTTGGGGTTCTTTGATATGCTGAATCTAACCATGTATTTAGATTTTGGATATTGGACCATAATAGGTGAATGTCCAATTTAAAATTTTTAAGTTCTTAGACCACATTCATTCTGTGTCAGAAACCTATGCTGTGTCAAATATTAAATCACAATCCAAATTCAGAGCTGTATCAAGCTTGAATGTTGTGTCCATACTTGCCCCAACTGTTCAGGATTCGACCTCTGCGGTCGTATCAAGCTGCGCCCTGCGGAGCATTTTATTACTTCATAAAATTCTTTTCTTTTACATAATTAAACTCCCCAATATAAACAGAGTTGGAGAGATTAAAATTTTCCCCTGTTCTATAAATTTCAGACATAATACTCCATCAAATATTTTCTGGAAAAACACTATTTCAGGTATTTTTTTGGCAAAGAATGAGTTAAGTGTGTCAGTATAACAACTTGGGCATCATGATTATTTACATTGAGCTCTAGATGTCTTTTAATTTGGTTGCTGTCTCAAATATGTAAATCACGCGTCTCTATTTATTGATACTATAAGCATTTTTAAATTTTATTGTAGATATATTGTTTTGACAAGTAAACATCATGAGGGATTTACCAACTGGCCATCAAGTTACTCTTTTAACTGGAATTCAAATGCTTCTGGTCCAAGCAGAGATCTTGTTGGTATGTGTTTCCATAATAGATAAGGAAACGAATTCTGTGCATTTCTATGTTCTATGAAGTCTATATATATATATAACCGGGATATATAAATGGTATGCTTATTGTTGTGTGTTATAGATTGGGATTATGTGGGTTTTTTATATATACAGTATAATTAAATAATAATTAGCATACAGGGTTTGAAAAATTGCCATGTTATAAATCATTTGATGATTATCTAAATTTGATTTATCAAAATATTGTTATTTTATACATTTAGGTAGTTGGTTTGCAGTTGCATTTAAAAAAAAGCCATTATGGCTAGATTTGGAGAGACCCTCTCCAGTAATGAGCACTATAAATGTACACCTATCTGATCGTCACTCTTCTTTCTAAGATTACATTTAATGATGAGTTTCACCTTTTAAGAATTTCGTTGTTATGTGAATAGAATGGCAATACTCATTTAAATTTATTGCTGCAAAACATATTATTATTATTACACTTAAAAGTTATAGTGAATCCCAAATTTAATTATGGATGACTCCTGGTTACTTTTATGTAAACAATCTATTATTGATAAACCTTGAAATATAGACCTGAATTTAAATCATCAAATTTAAATTTATAATAAAGCTAAACCTTCTGGTCCACCATTTTAAAACTCCTAAAAATTGATATATAATTAACTTATTTTCATATGAAATATTTACCACTAGAGGTAAAGTCAACAACTTACAGTCTATTAGTTCAACATAATGAAATGTTATGACTTGTTTTGGTACAGGTAGACAAAACTAATTTTCAGTAAAATCAGGCATTATGGCTAGTGTTTTATACCACATAATGTGATTATTTCAGTAAAATAAATATGATATAATTAAATTTATTCATATTTTTCAGGTGAATTAGCAAGTGCTATCAGAAGCAGGACTCATATTAGATTTGGCCTGTACCATTCTCTATTTGAATGGTTTAATCCTTTATACCTCCAAGATAAAGAGGCAAACTTTACAACACAGAATTTTGTTAAGGTAAAATTGAGAATGGAAATGGGGAATGTGTCAAAGAGACAACAACCCAACCATAAAGCAGACAACAGCCGAAGGCCACCAATGGGTCTTCAATGCAGTGAGGAACTCCCTCACCCGGAGGCGTCCTTCTCTCGCTCGGACACACTCCATAATATAGTATATTATAAGAGCATAAACCTGAAGCATGGGGAGGCACTCTACTGTCTCCACACGGCACTAAAGACAAACTCTGTAAAAAAGTAAAATTGAGAATGGAAATGGGGAATGTGTCAAAGAAACAACAACCGGACCATAGAGCAGTACATGTATATGATACTTTAAATTTGATAAAAAAGAGATAGAGGTATACAATGAATCTCAATACAATTGTGAATAAGCCAACAACACACAAGAAAACCATGAAAGATATCCACAGGTCTTCAAATATATTCAAGATCAACAATAGACATGAGTCTATACAGTACATGTATTATCAAACTTCTAAATTATCCAGAATCCTGACTTTTGTCCTTTATTGGATGAATTTAACATAAGATACAAAAAAAATGTGAGATATTAGGGAAGTTAATCTGGCAATAGCGACAGCATTAGCTTTCTCTTTAAAGCCTTATATTTCAGAAGGTAGAAGTGCTGAAAAATCTGTATCGGGTATACAGATGCCACATGATCTATAGTTTCTGTCTGTATGTCCATTGTCCTTGATCTCATTTTCATGGTTCAATCAACATGATCAATGACTGCTTAAAAAGATATATATTTTTTTTATCTTTATAATATAATTTGTTTTATGACAAGATTTTTTTCAGTTATTATGAGGGCAACTATGTTTGATGTATAGAATCATTGCAAAGTATAAACATCTGTCTGATAGGGTTCACCGTAGCTCAAACTGATTTTATGGTTTCAGTGTTTGACGTTAAGTTTTTGTGATTTGGTCTATTTCTTAGATATTATAAGCAATAGGACGACTATTTGGTACAACAAAGACTGTAGGGTGTACCTGTCTCTTTGATTGAGGTCATCTGACATTGACTCTCAGTTATTTTTCATGGTTTACCTAGGCCTATAAACAGGAAAAACATTTCAGTGTGTCCACTCTTGTTGGAATCATGTTATTGATATTAATATGTGTATAACTGTTTGCCTAGTGATAATTTGGGATGTTTGGGCCATCTTCTTGTTAGTTCCTGAATGAAGACACACAGAGTGACAATTTTAATAGCAGAATACCTCATTCTTGTACTCTTGTGAACTGTATAATCTTTATTCTTGAATTCTTTAAGAATGAAATTTCTCTTTGCCTCTTGAAACAAAATGATTTAAACCAGATTGCTCCAAGGTATGATAAAGTGACCGGCAAAAACCAGATAATTGCATTTTGCAATTATAAAAAAGGAAAAGTACATGATGTAGCACTGTAGGCTTTATCAATGTAATCCAATTCTGACTTAACTTTTAGCACAAGACCATTCCAGAACTGTATGAAATTGTCAACAAATACAAACCAGAAGTTGTGTGGTCTGATGGAGATGCTGGACCTGATACATACTGGACATCAAAGGAATTCTTAACTTGGTTGTATAATGAGAGGTAACACACTGTTCTTAAGTTTTTAAGTGTGCATCATACTGCTGCATTTGTGTAATAAGAAAATGCATTACACTTGTAATTTCCTCCTTCAAACCCAATGTAGAAAAATAGATAATTGAAAATGGTATATTCCTTAGATTAAAAAAATTGTTACATTATTTGATGTTCTAATAATAACATAATGCTAAAATGCATAGTTTAAATCAGAAAAAAAATATGTAAATGTGTATTAAAAGTTTAAATTGCTTTTTGGGAGAACCAAAACATCAAAAAGACAAACAACAGCCTACAAAGCATTATACATAAAACTAATGAATGAGCAACATGAAACTCAACAAAATGAGGGTGATCTCAGGTGCATTGAAAGTATAAGTAGATCCTGCTCTGCTAATGGCATCTGTCTGCAGGGCTGCCAAGTCTCACGCTCTTAAAGTGAGACTCACTCGTTTTCATGCTTATTTGGTGGCATTTTCCTTTGATCTAATGTTTTTCTCTTTGATCTTTACAATTTTGGCCAAATCTCATGCATTTGCTTCATGAAAACTTGGCAGTACTGTGTATGTGTTGCTCATGACATGTAATATTTTGGTGACATGTTTCTAATTATAAAAATAATATGTGGGTAACCAAAAAATATAGCATGTATACTTTCTTCCAGTCCACCATTGACCATTATTAAGCCCTGCTTAACAATAGTTAGGGGTTTTATTGTTTTCTGGTCTGTTTATATTGTTTTCTGGTCTGTGTGTCAATTAGTCAATTAGACCATCGTCCGTTCCGAATCAAGGTTTTGGTTTAAGATAGTTTACCATGAAGTTTCTGTTGCATGAACTGAATAGTTAGTGCACTTGTTCAATATGATGTGAACTTTAAAAAATATATGCCCAATTAGGGTTTTGACGAATTTCACGGTTCAATGAACACAGAAATGTGATAAGTGTCAGTAGGGCATGGTGTCCTATGAACACACTCCTTATTAACAAATGTAAAAGGAGAAACATAATAGTAATTTGAAAACCCTGTTATTCTAAATACATAGTGTATGTTCTAAGACCCTATTGTCAGATTAAATTTGTAGGAATTTTTTCCATGAATCACAGATACATTTACATTTTCTAAGAAGATATAGCTTTTATTTACCATTTTGTTTTTCAGCCCAGTTAAAGACACTGTAGTTACCAATGATAGATGGGGTAAAGGTTGTGCATGTAAACATGGGGGATATTACACCTGTCAAGACAGATATAATCCAGGTACTGTGGATTCATTATTATTTGTCAGATAAACTTTTTTTTGTGGATGTAGAGTGTATAGATAAACCACAAATTTGAATGTTCAACGAAGTACACATTTTCTATACCCTTGTTTACAGACTCTGGCAAATCCACATATATGTTTCTATCCTTTAAAGTATGTGTATTCTTATCGGCACATATATGTTTCTATCCTTTAAAGTATTGTATTCTTATCGGCACATATATGTTTCTATCCTTTAAAGTATGTGTATTCTTATCGGCACATATATGTTTCTATCCTTTAAAGTATGTGTATTCTTATCGGCACATATGCGTTTCTATCCTTTAAAGTATGTGTATTCTTATCGGCACATATATGTTTCTATCCTTTAAAGTATGTGTATTCTTATCGGCACATATGCGTTTCTATCCTTTAAAGTATGTGTATTCTTATCGGCACATATATGTTTCTATCCTTTAAAGTATGTGTATTCTTATTGGCACACATATGTTTCTTTCCTTACAGTATTGTGTATTCTTATCGGCACATATATGTTTCTATCCTTTAGGAAACCTGTTTCTTTTTATTTATGTTATGCCACTGCCACTAGGCGAAAGGTGCATTAAGTGCTACCATTGACTGTCCATCTTTCCGTCCTTCCGACTTTCTGTCCTTCCCTCTGTCCCATTTTTGGTTTCCCCACTGTAACTTTATTTTACTCATCCAAATCTTATGAAACTCGTACAGAATGCAAACAGAGTTTAAATTTGGGCATTGAGTCACTTACCATTATAGAGGTTTGCCTCTTTTTAACTGGGAAAATTGCAAAGCATGAGCAGGGATAGTCATGTCCTCAGATACATTCTTCTTTTATTTTTGAGATGTTGATCCTTCAAGATTTGAATTGGCAGTTTATGAGTCATAACTTGTTCAGACTTCAATAGGGTCCATGATATTTTGAATACATGAGTATCTGTATAAATGTAAATGTTGAGAACATATGTTAATTTCAGAGTGTGTTATTTGCAGTCATAGTTAACAAAGTTCTGCTTGAAATTTCTGTTTTGATACAAAAGTTGTAAGAACAACCATGTGGCAAAGAATTGAGAAAAAAGTATTTTAAGAACATTAAGAAATGTTCAAAGCATTTCAGCAGTGGAAATTTGTCTATTTACAGGTACAAAACAGAATCATAAATGGGAAAATTGTATGACTATAGATCGACAGTCATGGGGTTACAGAAGAAACACAAATCTTAATCAGTTCCTCAGTGTCCATGAAATAATATCTACTCTAGCTTCTACTGTAAGGTAAGGTTAACTGGTTACCTACTGTTATCTACTCTAGCTTCTACTGTTAGGTAAGGTAAGGTTAACTGGTTACTTACTGCTATCTACTCTAGCTTCTACTGTAAGGTAAGGTAAGGTTAACTGGTTACTTACTGTTATCTACTCTAGCTTCTACTGTTAGGTAAGGTTAACTGATGATTGCTGTACCTAGTGGCCCAGATTGCTGAGTGGTCTAATTAGTTATACTACTGTATCACTTACCTGTCAACACTGAGGTTTCGAGTTCAAATCCCGCATGTGGCAGGTGCATTGGACTCCAATCTTAATTGACTAGTCAACTGATTTTTATATAGAAATAAGAAGATGTGGTACAAGTGCCAATGAGACAACTCTCCATCCAAGTCACAATGTGTAAAAAGTAAACAATTATAGGTCAAAGTACGGCCTTCAATATGGAGCCTTGGCTCACACGGAACTGCAAGCTATAAATAGTTTGTTCATATATTGTGCTGTTACACCACTGTCCCAGGTTAGAGGGAGGGCTGAGCGCTCACAAACATGTTTAACCCCGCCACATACTTTATGTGCCTGTCCCAAGTCAGGAGCCTGTAGTTCAGTGGTTGTCATTGGTTCATGTGTGTCATATTTGTTTTTCGTTAATTGTTTTGTTATAAATCAGGCCGTTAGTTTTCTCAATTGAATTGTTTTCATATTTTTCATATCAAGGCCTTTAATAGCCTACTATACGGTATGGGTTTTTCTCATTGTTGAAGGCCGTACGGTTGCCTATAACTGCTTACACCCACTTTAGTGGATAGTTGTCTCATTGACAATCATACCTCATCTCTTTATTTTCATAGGATTGTCATATATTTCAGACCTCTTTTATATAACATGATAAATACATCAGTAAAGTTCAAATATATTGCTGTATAATTGGCTAACTGTATAGTTGGCTAAGCACTTAAAGGGAAAAATTATCTGAGAAAATAATTTATTTTACTGTATTTGATAGGATTTTTGGGTCATGATATTTTGCATATTGATTCAACTTTTTGTCATGAGGAAGGTCCTTTAAACATATCATTTATAACCCAGTATTTCTAAGGTGTCTACCAGCAAACATTTGGTTAAAGCTTGATGATCTTGTTACACTTTTTATAAAAATTAAGTTGTGTAATTATATATTACAGCTGTGGAGGTAACATGCTAATGAATGTGGGTCCAACAAAGGAAGGAAAAATAATACCATTGTTTGAAGAGAGACTGAGAGATTTAGGGAAGTGGTTGAATGTTAATGGAGAGGGTATATACAGCACTGTACCATGGAGTCACCAGAATGACACTGTTACTAAGAATGTTTGGTATGTTTTAATAGAGTAATTACATTTTACTGTATATTGCGAAATTTGTGCGTGTGTCTACTTTTTTGCTATATTCCTGGAAGGCATTTGACTGCAAAATTTGATTTACAGAAATATTTCACCGGTAATTTAAAAGCACTAAACAAGATCCTAAAACAGTTACAATGAAGACAGCAAAGAGTTAACTGTCCCTTGTAAGGTCCGAACAACAAACAAATCTTGACACAAATAATACCTGATATATAATGGCCCTCAAGTATTTAAGTTATGTTATCAATTCATGATTTCAAATAATCATAACTTATATGTTTTACCTTGTGTGATTGTCTTTTACAACTCTACCACTGTGTTTTCAAGACTGTTGGATATAACTACCTCTGTCCCTATCAGACATAGTGATCATTTCCTTTATTTAAAAAAAAACACTAATCTATATAAAAATAAGAAGATGTGGTATAATTGCTAATTAGGCAACTCACCACCAGAGACCAAATGACATAGAAGTTAACAACTATAGGTCATTGTACGCCCTTCAACAATGAGCAAAAAACCCATACCTCATAGTCAGCTATAAAAGGCCCTGAAATGACAAATGTAAAACGAAAAAACTAATGGCTTGACATACATGTATCATCATTATGGTTATTAAAAAAATATGTCTAGGTCATTATTGCTGCTATAACACTTTCATCATGACATATCTTGAAAATAAATTAGCATATATGCAAATATTAAATAGTTTATACATTAATATGCATGTGTAAATGATAAAATTATTTTCAAGTAGTCTAAGAGTGGTCACTTCTAAGTCTCTGATAAACTTAAGACTCCTGTAACAAAATATTTTTAAAATACCTGACTAATTTTCCATACTGTTTTGTTTTTTTGTAGTACAAGAGACAAAATTAAATTAATTAATTACTTTGTTTACTGCAAATAAATGTACTGTGGTAGATTCCAGGAGGTGTAGAGGACATATATCCCCTATTTGATAAAAAAAAATATCATTATTTGGTCATTAAACCATATATAAGTTGTCTAAAATCAACACATATTGTTTCATATGAATACAAATGAATACACAGCATAATAATCTTAAAATGAATTTTACAGGTATACCATGAAGAACTCAGGAAATAGTAAAGTTGTATATGCTATACTTTTATCCTACCCAGAAGATACTGTCCTAAAGTTAGGAGCACCTATCCCATCACAGACCACAGAAGTTACCATGCTGGGATATCCTAACAATTTTAAATGGATCTCAGGACCAGGAGGTCAAGGACTTTACATAACTATCCCTACGATCTCTTGGAATATGCTGCCTTGTCAATGGGCTTGGGTGCTGAAAATTACAGGGTTGGGAAACTAATATCTAGCTCAAGTAGATCTCAAATTCAAGTGCAATGATTGACTTACTTTTTCTGCAATTGTAACTGAAATCATATCAGAGGACTTTAAATCTTTAATCACAGTCATCTGGTGTGGTTTACACAGTTTTAAAGAATAATAGAAAAAATACAATGTGAGCCTGATCTGCTGTTTAATGCATTAAGGAGACCTGTTTTATTCTGAAAATCATTGACCACAATCTTCAACCCAAATAATTTTAAGTGCATATGGGTTGAGACATACAACTTAAAAATAAATTAGATTGGTTAGTTCAACTTGCCAATGTTGTTTGGAGTCCAAAATCAATATCTGAATTAGACAAAATCAGACAAAATTATATCTTTTTTCCAAATGCTCAACTAGATGTCACAGTGACATCATCACGTATGAAATGTACCAGAACTTGTTGATTTTGTATTTGAGGTATTTCTAAATAATTTTTTGCCAATTGCATATTGTAATAAGGTAATTTAACTAGATTTTTTGAAGTTTGAGGGATAATATTTACCGGTAATTAATTTATTCTTACAAAAAATGTGGTCTATTTGCTTATTTTGAATATGAACACTCATTTGTGTATTATGGATACATATTTAAAAAGAATCTCATATAAAAATAAGGAGATGTGGTATGATTGCCAATGAGACATGTTCATTTACTTCTCCAAGGGGAAATTATTTAATGAAATGGTCTTTTTGTACATAAGCAGATAGTTATATGGATGGTGATTACCAAATTTGTGGTTTTGTTGAACTTTCAGGTGGAAATTAATTCAAAAACTAGAACAATGTTATTTAAGAAGATATTATAATGTTTACTACTGTAAATTCAGAAATTATTGCGATGTTTTTATTATCGCGAAAAATGCGACAGGGTTATAATCGCAATAATTTAAACTCGCATTTTGAAATTCTTTATATGAATTAAACAGGATTTTTCTCAATATCGCCAAAATTAAAATCGCATTTTAGTCTAAAATGGCAAAATCGCAATAATAAATGCACGCAATAATTTCTGAATTTACAGTATTTCTATTGGGAATTTGGTTATGATTAAAAATTTAAAGTGTATGCATGCCTCCAATGAACTCATGCCTGCCAAGTTTTTTAAAATTGCCATAGGGGATTTTAAGCGCAAGAGGACCTAATGCTCCTCTTATATTATTATAAATGTTCTAAATCTACTACTAAATTGTTTGAATGAGTATATATGTGCTTAAATACCCTTTTAACTCATTTGAATGCCTGTTTTGAGGTCTTCAGTTTATATAATAAAAAATTTCAAAATTCAAGTCAACATCTCTCATGGGTGATATCCCCTTAAATCGGGATAGTTGGCAGGTCTGTGAACTTAGTTTTATACAGATGCTATTGGAAATGTATGTTAGGGCTATAATCATCATCATGTGTACTACCAGGTGAGCAATACTGTTATACAGAGATTACTTTGAGCCTCCAGTTCTGAGTGCATGTATGTGATTCTTTCAGAATTTTCTTACAAGCAGTGTAATACCAAGGACAGTTTTACTTTTTTTTAGTACATTTATGTGTTTTTCCGTCCTTTTTTTTAACTTTGAGGAGAACTATGAAAATTACCTGTTTATGTAGTGTTTTATCAAGACTGAAAATATGAATATGATATGAAATAGTAGCACTGTTTAAATTGTCATAAGAGACAAAATTATGTAAATTTTGATTACCCAGCTTTTTAAAAATGCCTGAAAACATGAGAATCTCTTAATAAAATATTTTGAAAGTACGGTTGTAGGTAACAGTTTCACATTCCATTTATTTTCTATCTATGCATTGTTTGATATGAATTGTTATATGGTTCTAGTTTGATATATTTTATTTACTTTTCTCTTTGTAAACTTTTGATACAAAATAAATGAAGTGAAACCTTGTCTTGTGTCAAAATTTCTTCATGTTTATTTTGGAAGAATTTGGTGTTGACTGCTAGTCTTTAATACTTTCTGTTCACTGTTGATTCATATATATTCGTGGGTACCAATTTTTGTGGATTGAGGATAGATTGTATTCCGTGGATATTTGATTCATGGTTTTGCCATTGTCTGCTTACAGCCTATTAAAGAGGGTGTTAATGGGGTTTACAGAATAGAGAATAATGGGCCAAAAAATAAAGAATAGAGAAAAATGGGCAAAAAAAAATGAAGAATACAGAATAATGGGGTACTAAAATATAAAGAATAAGTGCAAAATTAAAGAATTGGGTAAAAATATATTGCTTACAGAAAAGAACAATATCCAGAATACAGTTATCAAATAATTACAGAATAGCCATTATTTTTAAAGATTAAGAATAATGAGCGAAAAAAAATAAAGAATACAGAAATAAAGCATCCCCCATCCATACCCTCATTAAAAATTTATACTTCCTTGAAAATTTGAATTCATGGTTCATCTTTACCAACGAAATCAACCAAAATTGGTATCCCATGAATAATAATAAATCAACAGTAATTTGTCTTAATTTCAAGACAATTTATGGCTTGACATATTGTATAGGCATCTTTCTATTGTTTACTAGAAAGTAGTTAATAAATAGTAAAAAGACATCTGCAGGTTGCTTATTTATTGTGTTAGATGACATATCTTCAAAGCATAACGATTTGAATACCACTAACAGCATTTTTTTTATTTGATGCAAAATCTGTTGGAATGACTTCAAGTTGATACTATTGATGCTGTATATATATATCAGTCCTTGTGTTGTTAGTTAAAAGAAATCGTGTCCAAATAAAAATTTACATTTTTGCCAAAATGGCTTAGTCCCAGTCTAATTGGCTGTCTTGAATGTCTTACTGGAAGTTTTATATTGAAAAAAAATATTGAAAAGGGTTTAAAAATGAGTTCATAAGAAATTTCCAACCTACTAAAAAGATTCACTACCACCTTAAAGGTGAAAATTCAATCTCAGTTATTAAAATGAAGAATAGTTGACATTTACAAATTAAAATAAGGAGGTGTGGTATGACTGTTAATGAGGCAGCTATCTACAAAAGTTTACAATACACTTCAATAACAAAATTCTACTAGAATAAGATCTCTGACATAAAGACATTTTAACCAAGTCTCATGATATATATCCCTTTCGGTACTTTAAAAGAGATCTTTCAACAACTGCTGCTTCAAATAGACCATTTGTAAAGTAATGGTTACATTGTGGATGTTCAAGTCAGATTGACTTGATGACAGCACTAAAAATGCTTTGTTTTTTTTTCATTTTAATTCCTTTTTAGCTCATCTGACCTAAAAACTATATTAAATGATCATCAATACAGTATCTACAAAATGTCAATACGGCCAAAACCATTAGATGACCCCTAAAGGAGTTATTGCCCTTAAACGACTATTTTAGACTAATTTTAGTGTTTTTAGCCTATAATCACAAAACCATATCAGAAACTGCTAAAATTATCAGCAATACAAGATCTAGAAAAATGTCAATTTAACCTAAACAATTGGGAGACTGTTAGGAATTATTGCCCTTAAATGACGATTTTTTAGTAATTTTTGTGTCCATCATATACTTTTTCATAGATCTCCTTTTCTGAAACTTATGAACTAATTTCAACCAATCTTTGGGTGAATGATCCTTAGTTTAAACTTTGTGGGTTTATTTATTAGCCAACCAGCATGACCACCATGGCTAAAAATAGAACATAAGGGTAAAGTGCATTGTCATATCTTGAAAACCCACAATAGATGAGAAAAATCTGAGAAGACAAAAATTATCAGAATGACAAGATCTACCTACTTCCTATATTCACTAAAATTATCAGATGACTCCTTAAAGGAGTTATTGCCCTATCATGACAATGTTTGGCTAATTTTTATGATTTTGCTTATTATCTCAAAATTCATAATAGATGAGTAGAAACTGTGAACTAAAATGATCAGCCAAACAAGATCCACAAAAATTCTAATAAAACTGAAACCATTACGTTAACACTAAGGGGTCATTGCCCTTCAATACGATTTTTGACTAATTTGCATGTTTTGTCTTGTTATCTTGAAAACTACTATCGATAGGTAGAAACTGCATGTAGAGTAAAAATAATCAGCAACACAAGATAAAAAAAAAGATATTTTGGTCATGGATAATATACTAGTCTATAATGTTGGGGAATGGTTAATTGACTCGTTGTTCATGATGCATATACATCCAGGTGAGCGACACAGACTCTTTATAGTCTAGAGTATCAATATTGGTTGAAGTCATCCGTAGATTTCATTCATAGGTAAGACAGACGCGCCTTTAAAGCCAACTAAATGAGAACTGTTCAAGCAGCAGAACAAATTTATGTTTTCACTAGTACAGTTGGACAATGCAGTCTTGAGTTGTTAAGCTGATGGTTTCTTAAAGACCTCACAATGAAATACGCTCAGCTAATTGTGTACAGACAGAGGAGTGTCTACAATCAAGATGATATGGATTTGTTTTCAACATAGATACCGGTAATAATGGGCAAAGATTGAGAATAAAGGGTACACAAATAAAGAAAAGAGTAAAATAGGCAAAAAATAATAACGAATTGAGAATAATGGGCAAAAAATACAGAATAGAGAAAATAGCCGAAAAAATTAAAAAATACAGAATTATAGGAAACCAACCATCCAGACCCTCATAAATACATCGACTAGGTAATGCTCGTGATAGGTTCTTTTTATTCACTTAACTCGCTACCATACAAGAAACTAAACAATTGTCTTCAGGAAAACAATGCAAAGCTTCTTCTATGTCAATCTCGATTTAGTCACTCAGGAATGCTGCATATTTAGTTTGAAGCCGCGAGAATCTTTTACGCGTAAATCAGTTGACTCGATGAACAGATGATTACAAACGATGAAAGCATGTGTATGATTTGGCATTCGAAAGTTCTGAATTGCTAGTGATTGAAGTATTTAACATTATAGAAACTATGAAAGATCCATTGTGTCTCAGATTGTGTACGAAAATGAAAATATAAGTTTTCTGCCATCTAAACTAATTTACAATCTAATTAAAATATAGATCTGGGATTTCGTTATACACCTCATATGTAGTATAACCAGAGACATATAATACAATTGTATTATATGTCTCTGGTATAACGTAGTATAACGAAATCCGAGATCTATACTAAATAATTAGATTGAACTAATTTGCAGGCATATGACTTTTTGTATAGGACAGATAATGGATGATACTTATTATTAATAAAGTTTATTTCTGTAAACTTAGATTTTCTAGAACCCTTTAAAACAAGCTTTCACAGACATGCATATCACATCTTTGGTACTTTCGTTATCCTTCACGAGTCTTAATTAGGATCTGGACAGATATCATAGAATAGAGAATAATGCGCCAGAAAAAAAGGAATGGAAAAATGTGTAAAAATAAAGAGTAGATAAATGTGGGGTGTTAAAAAATACAGAAAAAAGTATAACGACCAATATTTGATATTATAAGTTAATATAAGGGAATTTCTCTCTTATAATAATCATTATATACACCTGATTTAGACGCCTTTTAATGTCTTTGGTGCTGCTCAAACAAATTTGATCAAATTTTATAATTACAATGTTTTTAAAAGACGCTTTAATTTAAAATGTTTAAAGAAAAACATCTTTGATCATCTTGGTCCCGTGACTTTAAATTTGCTCCAGGCCGCCAGTTTTACCCTTAAAACATGTAAAGTAGGCCTAAATAGCAAATGCCAATATTGGCTCCATATATATCATGTTTAATAACAGATTTTTAATAACAAATTTTAAGAATTTATCGAATATATATCTGATTGATTTAGGAAAAACTATATGTAAATTGACATTTAAATTATGTCTTGTACAAATAACACTGATTGAACCATAGCCGATTTAACGCTCCATCGATTTTTTATGACAAGTTAGTACAATATAATAAGTACTATACTTTCATGTGACATATCATGTGGTCTTGTTTCATAACGCATTAAATTGTAAAAATGGCGAAACAGTGGATGTTTATATTAATTTGTTGCATAGGATTACAGTTTATTTATTCCAAATATACTCCTGATTGGGACTCATTGGATTCAAGGCCGTTACCAAAATGGTATGACGAAGCCAAATTTGGAATTTTCGTTCATTGGGGTGTATTTTCTGTTCCAAGTTTCCATTCAGAATGGTTCTGGCCACTATGGAAGTCAAAGCACCCAGCTCCAGATATTGTAGATTTTATGAAAAGAAATTACCCACCCGATTTTACTTATGCTGACTTTGCTGCAGATTTTACAGCAGAATTTTTTAATCCGGACGAATGGGCAGATATATTTAAAGCCTCGGGAGCAGGGTAAGACCGATTTCTATAAGTACTGTTGCAATTTTCGTAAATAAATGCATTTGGACTAAAATAAATCATAAAATGTAGAAAGGTGATCCGGAGGAAAGGGGGGGGGGGGGGGGTGTAGTAGTGAACCGTTTAACTAATTTATCGCACGCACGGAAAATTTCCTGCCAAGTTTTGTATAAAAATAAACAATGAAACACAATAACATTAATAGATGTCATCATTAATAGAAAACGTAACATCATGATGTACCCCTATGAAATTTACTGACCCCTCCGGATTCATATAGAGGATCACCACGTCACGGCGTAAACCCAATGGCAACGTCACTAATTTACCCGTGGTGCAATAAATGTAGAAAAATGGCATTTTGTTTTTGATACTGACTTTTTCAGCAAGAATATCAAGCGAGCCCGCCCGTAAAACGATATGTTTTTTTATGATATAAAATGAAATGAAATAGTAAGTAAAGCTATATTTTTACGCGTAGAAAACGTTGTGTTAGCTCTTGGACTATTATTTACAGTCCAAATAAATATGACATCTTGGAAGGCTATTTTAATTTTTTTTCTGTGACGCCTTCCCACGACCGGCAAGACGTCATAATTATTTGGACAAACCCAATATATGATGTGCCAGGTTAGCTATACGATTGTATGAATGGAGACGCCTGTGTTTTATTGATAAATTAGTTTAAACAATATTTATTCAGATAAATCATCACATGACGAAATATAATTCAATTGCAATAAATATTTAGGATTCAGAAACAAGCAAATTTACTTTTACAAATCTGTCTCCTATTACACAAAGAATACACTTATTGAACAATACAAAAATATAAATATAAATACTTATTGATAAATTGACGCGGATGGACATAAACGCGTGACGTTGCTGCAATGTTACGTGACGTCATAAAGACTCATTGCTTAATATTTTGGAGTATGAGGTCTTTTATAGAATAAATATCAGTAAGATGAAAGGGAAAATATACACATTGCGGATAAGTAGTTTCGGCAATTTGTACATTTTCCTTTTGATTTTACTGCTTAATATTTTTTAGATTACGGACAGGACTTAAAACTCGAAAATAATAGGCAATGACGTCACGTATCAGTACAGCAACGTCGCGTGTTCATGACCATCCGCGTCAATTTATCAATGAAATGCACGCGACCTCATTTATACAACCGAACAACTATCACAACGTTTTGTACGCGTAAAAGTAGTTTTACAAACTTATTCATTGTATTTCATATTCCCAACTAAAAACACATTTTGCTAAGACAAATTGCCGATTAAAAGAATAATGGCTTTTTAATTTTTGATACTGACTTCATTAGCTCGAATATCAGCTCGCCCTAGCGGGCTCGCTTGATATTTTTGCTGATTAAGTCGGTATCAAAAACAAAAATACCATTATTAGGGGGGTAGGACTTTTATCGGGACTCCGGGATCGGGTGTTTTTAAGCTCGGGATTTCGGGATTGATCCTTTCGGGATCCGGGAAATTTTTTTTCGAATTTAGGGATGTCGGGATTTAAATTTTTTTAAATTCGGGACCTCGGGATTCCATGTTTTTAAGCCCGGGATTTCGGGATCAGGACCCCTCCTACCCCCCTCATCATTTATTTTATATTTGAACGTTTGTTAATGAAGCACTTCAATTCTATGGTTGTTGACAAATCTATCGGTTTTTATGGTTAGAAAGGTGTAATCCGCTATCGTCTTTCCGGATATATATATATATATATAAATTAATTTTACCACATAGAGGGCAAAGTACAGACATATCCTTGTTCTTGGTGTTATAAATCAGGTTCAACTTCAGAAGTAAAATACCGAGGTCTTTACTGAGGGTCTTTATGTCACATATTTTGAAAGAATCCTATAATTTATCAAAGTAAAAAGTCTCAAATCCAGATCAGAAAAATGAACAAAGCATAATACTTTAACTTTGCAAATGTATTGAATAAAACTGGAGGTAGCTTACAGGTGTTAGACAAGTCGCAGAAAAGTAAAATGTGTCAACAGCGTAAGCATTTCCTGCTATACACACATTAACATTGTGGTGTCTTACTGTGAGATCTTTGAATATTGTCTCGTCTTTATCGGTAAAAACATTGATTTTATTTTCAGTAATATTATACATAACTCAACAAGGATTACTATCCAGGTACTAAGAGTTATGCTCTATACTTAACCACCAATCACGAGTTGTTTTATGCCCCCGCCGTAGCGGAGGGGGCATTAAGTTTTACCCTTGTCCGTCAGTACGTCCGTCTGTACGTACGCCCGTTCGTCCCAAAATTGGTTTCCGTTCTCTAACTTTAGTTTGCCTCAACCAAATGTTAAGAAACTTATACACAATGCTTATTACCACAAAACACAGATCAAGTATGAATTTTGGTGGCGTCACTTTTATCGTTCTAGAGTTATGACCCTTTACAAATTGAAAAATTGCTGAATTTTTGGTTTCCGTTCTCTAACTTATTTTGTCTCAGCCAAATGTTATGAAACTTATACACAATGCTTATTATCACAAAACACAGATCAAATTTGAATTTTGGTGGCGTCACTTTTACCGTTCTACAGTTATGTCCCTTTACAAATGGAAAAATTGCTGAATTTTTCGTTTCCGTTCTCTAACTTAAGTTTGCCTCAACCAAATGTTATGAAACTTATACACAATGCTTATTACCACAAAACACAAATAAAATTTGAATTTTGGTGGCGTCACTTTTACCGTTCTAGAGTTATGCTCCTTTACAAATGGAAAAAATGCAAAATTTTTATTTTCTTCTAAATATCAAGTTATTTTCAAAATTGGAGTTATATTCCTTTGTCCATGATTATAGTTGAATCAACTACAATCAATGCTTTATACAATGCAATGTTTGATTTTGACTTCCACTGATAAAACACAGATCAAGTTGAATTTGGGTAGTGTCACTTTATAATTAACCATTATTGAGTTATGCCCTTTATAAATCGAAAGATTGCAAAATTTTTAATTTCCATTCTGTAACTTAAGTTTGCCCCAACCAAACATTATGAAACCTATACACAATATGTCCCTTTAAAACTATATGATATGCAAGCGGGGGCATCATCTGTGTCCACATGTGGACACTATCCACATTTATTTATGAATGAGTTACAACGATTGACCTCGGATTGACCCGACATTGGACAGTCACTTTTTACTGTGACGTTATAAGCATTGTGACATAGGACATTTACAGGAAAGTGCACGAATTCGAAAGTCGTTTATGTTTATATTGCACAAGATACTGCTTGTGACGTCTGTATACTACAGCCTCTTGATGTGTTACGATTGATATATTAGTCTAAAAAACGTGGTGTATTTATTTTACTAGCCTACAGTAACTGCAAGTACTCTAAGATCGGTATTTTTTGTCTTTTATCTTTTTGTTGGTAAACTTTTTTTTTGGGGGGGGGGGGGGGCATGTTTTGTTGGTATCTTTTACTTTTGTCATCGTGTTTGTTTTCAACGCCAGTATGATGAGTATCTTATAATGACAGAATTGGCACTAATGTTGATAAAATTGGTTATTACTACATTGTCTAAATTCAAATTAAAAATGTCTTGATTTTTAAATTTTCAGATATGTTGTTCTTACAAGTAAACATGGTGAAGGATTTCCCAACTGGCCATCCTCTCATTCTTTTAACTGGAATGCAAAAGCAGTGGGACCAAACAGAGACCTTGTTGGTGGGTAAAAATGGTCTTGAATGTATAACGAGAAAACATGTCTTTTAGTTTTCGAATATCGACTCTAAGTCTGTGTCCTCCATATAGTATCTTTAAATAACTGTTTAATATTCGGTATTGTAGAGCCAGAGTCTAGGATATCTTCGATAGAGGGCGATTAAGACTACATCGTCAAGGTTTTTACTGTTTTCAATACAAATTTACTCATTTTGATCTAAGGCGTCCTTCAATGTCAAAATTTAACAAAACATGCCAAACTGCAATCTTGTATCAAATTGTCTTCAGAAGCAATACATAACGCTGATTAACGTTTTGATTTAATGCGTAGTTGTGAAATTATTGGTTAATGTTTTAAGAATATTATATGACCTTATAATGACTCTTTAATTCTCATATAAAGACGCCTGCTTTGTTTCATTAAAAAAGGCCAACGTAGATAAAAGTATCTTGTCCTAGGGAGGGATAACTCGTATTTTGTAAAATATCACTCTGATTCAAACAAAAAGTTCTCTGAAACTGATAATATCAAGATGCTTGATTTCTTGATTGACAACATATTTGTTATGTTTGGAGGACATGTTTTCAACAAACAATCGGCATTCCCATGGGAACCAACCGTGCTCCTCTTCTTGCCGACTTGTTTCTTTATTTATATGAGGCTGACTTCATACAAAAGCGTCTTATGAATAATGCATAGAAGCTAACATTATCCTTTAACTTCATTTTCCGCTATAAAGATAATGTCTTCTCACTAAATAATTCAAAGTTTGGCGAATATCTTGAACGCATCTATCACACCGAACTTGAAATAAAGGATATAATAGATCTGTTTCACAGATGACGACATATATGATCTTTTCCCCGAATGTGACCTACCGAATTAGACTTATTACCTGATTATTTCTTACATGAGCCATACGACGGTGCCACATATGGATCAGGATCTGCTTACCCTTCCGGAGCACCTGAGATCACCCCCGGTTTTTGGTTTAGTTTGTGTTGCTCAGTATTTAGTTTTCTATGTTGTATTTTGGTCCATTTCTTGTTTTGCTATGACATTGTCACTTTATTTTCGACTTATGAGTTTGAATATCCCTTTGGTATCTTCCGCCTCTCTTTAAATACTAATATACAAATTCGATTCGGTTTTTGAAAACATTAAGATTTGGATAAATACAGGGTACATTGGCCTTACCTCATAAACAGATACTTTCAAAGATTCTGGACCGAAGGTTTTCTAACTCGTAGTCGGCTAGCATTTTGTTTTTGTGGCGGGTTCCTCTTCCCTTTATTTGTAATCTCTCAGCCATGGATCTTTTCTTGTATTTATATACCGTATGTTGATCCATTACTATTGCCCCATATTCCATGGTAGATATTACTAACGACATGGAAGCTATTTTCTTGCAGTCTTTGGGACATAATCGTAGTTTGCGTGTGCGAAGGCATAGTGATGAGTTTGCTTTTTTGGCTACATTGGAGACTTGTATTGTCCATTTGAGGTCTTTTGGATATTTGTAGTCCTAGGTATGAGTTATTTAGGACTTCACCTGTTTGAGAATGTGTCCATCTAAGTTGACAGTTTCCAGCTCTTACTCTTTAAGCAGATAATGCAGCACTTCTTTGCATTGAAACGCATGCACCAGTCTTTCGCCCATTTATTTTTAAGTTTTCCAAGTCTTGTAATGTATAGTTACGTTGTAATTTGCTATCCCTATATAGCAAACAATCGTGCACTGCGACGAGTAGTTGAGTTTCACAAGAGTAGCCGGGCCTAAATCCGTGGTTAAGTGATTTAAGCACTGTTTTTGTCCTTAGCGTTTTAGCATGTGCTTGTAGATGATGTGTTCTTCTAGTATCTAAGAAGGTATATGTGTTAATCATACAGGTCTGTAGTTTTCTGGTGTTTGTTTGTCTACTTTTTTTAAATACGCTTGATGTGTTAGCATTTAACCAGTCGATAGGTAGTGATCCAGTGTTTATGGACTTTTGGTATATCGATGTAAGTCATGGTGCTCGTTGCTTAGAGAAGAGCCTTGGTGGACAAGTGGTCTGGGTAGTTCATCTACAGCGACCACTAGTATGTCAACACTGAGGTTGTGAGTTCGAATCCCGCTCGTGGCAGGTGAGTTCGGATCTTATCTTAATTAACTAGTAATGCCAGTTGTTCTGCCGAAGGTCGGCGGTTCTCTCCGGTTATTCCGACTTCCTCCACCTATAAAAACTGGCCGCCGAATGCTCTTGAATGAGATCTGATGAAGCAATTTTATAATCTTTACTGTCTTCCATGTTTCGGTGTGGCATGTAGAAAAACCTATCGGGAGTTCATTGTCTTTTAATTGTATTTTCACCCATTCAATCTTGCATTATTTTATTTACCAAATTCTGGTTTTTCTACTGCTATAACTTCGTTGTGTATAATACTCATACTACCAAGAGATTCTGAAATTGTATTTTCTATTCTTCCAGAGAAATATATATAACGGAACTAACAATTTACATCAATTTGTTCCATGCAGATTGCGATGGATAATTATGTACTGATTTATCTTCTGTATGTACACGTACGGAACCCTGTTGGTCTCATCCTTTATCTTCTGTATGTACACGTACGGAACCCAGTTGGTCTCATCCTTTATCTTCTGTATGTACACGTACGGAACCCTGTTGGTCTCATCCTTTATCTTCTGTATGTACACGTACGGAACCCTGTTGGTCTCATCCTTTATCTTCTGTATGTACACGTACGGAACCCTGTTGGTCTCTTCCACATATTATGAATCTACAGATGTGAACTCCTGTGTTGAAGATATAAACTCTAGCGTTGAAAATGTAGACTTCAACGCTGAAGATATAAAGTCTAACGCTGATACGAAATCAGTATTTCAAGTCTATATTTATTGTTTTTAGGCGATCTGGCTGCAGCAATACGAAACAGAACGGATATAAAGTTTGGAACATACTACTGTCTTTCAGAATGGCTTAATCCACTCTATCTCAAAGATAAGGAATCGAATTTCACAACCCAGAATTTTGTGAAGGTAAAATATTATAAACTGATACGGTCCAGTATTGCTTATGAGAAAACATGTTTCATATAATACTTATATCAGTAAAATAAGCGTTGTATGTATGAAGGTTCATACAAAAAATAGCATCTGGGTTGCTAAGACCAACAATGTTGCAGTTCGACTGTCAAGCTTTCCATCGAAATACATCTAAACTCTTGGTATCATAACAATGCTTCTTAGAGTTAAAGACAAGCAATTATACTACATGTCTGCCATTCTTTTTCTTAATTGAAATCAATATTAATGTTTGTGTTTTATTTGATAGAATTAATTGTATCAAAATGATATGTCATACTCTTTTAGACAAAAACTATGCCAGACCTGTATGAACTAGTAAGTAAATATAAACCAGAAATTGTATGGGCAGATATGGTTGATGATTTAGGACCTTCTTCATACTGGACTGCAAAAGAGTTTCTAGCTTGGTTGTTTAATGAAAGGTAATTGTTTATCTCTTACTTCTGATTGGTTGAGAGTTTGTTTTACATTTGTTTTCTTTACTGTTTTCACTCTTGTTATGCAGCTTAATTGGTTGTGAAACTTATTCTAGTTCTGAATAAGCGTAATGTATATGCAACGATACAATTTAAACCATAACATCTAGAATACTATTATACATAAGAAAGAGTATATCTGTAATATTAGAATCAGACTTTTAAGACGGAGTTACAGAGCCTTTATGATCTGAAATTGTATAGATTTTGTCAGTATTGTTTCTTCTACTTTGTCTTCTTTAGAAAAGACACAGAAAGACAATAACTTCGACTTTTATGCTCTTAAAACGACATATTCTGATTCTGAGCCATAGACACATGATTACGTCTTTCGTTCGGCTGTAAGACTCATGCAGAGGAGGCGTAGGGTGGCTGTGCAGGATGTATAAATACCCAGTCACGTCCGATTGGAGTGAGGGCTTTGAAAAATTAATCTTTTAAAATCACACCTAGACAGCTCAATCTGTCTTGACACGTTTTTACGCTACAAACATAGCAAAATGACAATGATCAACATAAATTAACAAGGGACTACTAAAAGTAACTGAAAGCTCCAGACCTCAATTAAACTGATCGAAAGATTATGTCATGATATAAAAATCAACTACAATCCCTTCCGTTAGGAATTTAGTATCATGCATCATAAATTATATGAGAAGAACATAACCCGTATCATGTCAACAACTGGTTTAAGAATAATGTATTTATTTCCGATGCAAAGACCCCATTAATAAATATAATTACCTGTTTTTTTCTTTGAACGAATTACTGTCTTCAGTGAATCACAAAACTGTTATTCCATATTTTAGACCTTTCGATGTCTGGTCTCAAAGCACATATTTGTCAGCACAAACATTTACGCTATCTTTGATTTTTTTCTAAAATTCTAGATCAGCAAACACGTGCGTTAAACCCTTACCATATTTTGTGCCCGCACCAAGTCAGACTATCTGAATCATTTGTTGTTCGTTGTTGTTGTTTTTTGGGGGATTCCTGTTATACTATTTCTACTCGTTTACTTACAGTCCAGTAAAGGATACTGTTGTTACAAATGACCGATGGGGCCCAGATTGTAAATGCAAACATGGTAGCTACAAAACCTGTACAGATAAATTCAATCCAGGTAAGTGTATATATGGTAATGTTGATTTTTATTTAAGGTGGATCATCGGTATATATTTCTTCAGATAGAATTTTCTTATACTTTGCCAGCATATAGATTTTACCATGCTTTTTTCAAAAATATAATAAAAAGTAAAGGTCACAGTTCTATTTTTCAAGCTACTAGTCGTGTAAAATTGCCCAATTTTGTATAGGATATTCATGAAAAAAAACACACTTTTTTGTGAATAAAAAGAAATCTGTGAGATAGAATTTGAAATAAAACATGAGAAGATAGGTTTTATAATATGCTTTAAGGAAATAAAAAGAAAAAAGGGTGTCACGGAACTTGTTTTCTTGCTACAATTAAAAAAATGAAATTTCTTTATCATTCCTTTATGAAAATTTTACTATAAGAGTATATCTTTAAATTGCTAAATTCAAAAATTGATTCGAACATTAATAAATAGTTGGTATTTGTTAAAACAGTCTTAAATAATGCAATAAATTAAAAATAAACAGTCTTACGCATTAATTGCTAATCTGTCTCAATATTTGCAAATTTAAGAAAAGAACTATACCAATTGTGTACTGCTATTTTACAATCCATGATGGCGTTATACAGTTACCTTAAGTTCTTTGGCAGATATTATCGTAACACATGCATTATGATGCAATGAAAGTAAATATTACTAGAAGTGTTGTCTTTTGGTAATCCCGCATTGCAAAAGGAAACACTTTCAGTTAAATATTAAATTGGTTCGAAAATCATGACGCCTGCAATGAAATTTCAAATTAAAAAACCTCATGAACATGAAAACAATCAGTAATAGTGATATTAAAGAGAAAAATATAAATAGAGTTAAAAGAAAAATGTAATCGGAGTTCGAGACAAAACATTTATATTACTAATATCTTCATCGTTGGTCTGAATATTTGTAACTCTTAGGTGAAATTAGAATTGAATCTCTGGATGTACAGCTACAGGTGACAAGGAGTAAAATATTATAATGGCACATGATCATTGTTACCGTTTATACATTTTTAAAATTTTGTTTGAGCTAATTCTCTTCGATTCTATAACAAAAACAAAATGCCCTTTATATAGTTCATTATAATTGAGAAACTGACTTAGGTGACCAAAACTCGGGACGATTTAAAATTTTAAATATTTTTTACACTTTTGACTATTGTTGAGCACACAATGTTGATCTCTTAATGTGTTTTCATTTTATGTGTCTTTCACACCACAACTGGAATATGGAAATGAGTTCAAGGTAATTTGGAGCTTTCGTCAATATCTGGTACAAAATGATCTTATAGTGAAAACTAAATCTGGATCAGCGATTAAAGGAAATGAATTCACTAAATACCTATAATAAGAATGAAACTGGTGCAATGACGGAAATTTTACGTTATTCATTAGTGAGGTCAAGATTAGGCGACCAATACCCCACCGTATGTACTCACCTTTCAACAAAAGCGTGACAGAATCTATTGAGACGACATTCTCATTATCCATTTACCATTTTTTTGTGCAATTAAAAATCAAAAGCTTTATAATGATAAACATAGTAAGAAACACTACCACCAATAATAAAAGATCTGGACAAGACTTTTCTTTGAACCTCTCTTCGTGTATGTTCATACTTATTCCCTCAACAAATCGGGGTTCAAAAGAAAGTCTTCCCAAAATCTGGAACCTAAAATAGAAGAGGACCTTAAGGTGGTACCTAACACTACAGGGAGATAACTCTGTAAAAATCAGCTAAACGTTTTAATTACCTTGTATTGTTAAGGAAATATAAAGCTTCTCAATGATCAAAATTAGTGTTTGTCAAACTGCTATATAACCAACGAAATTTTTCTGATAAAGTGGTTGGTTCAAATTTTTTGGAATTTTTATATTTTTGTCAAAGGGTCAAAGTAAACATTTTGTCAAAATTTTATGAAAATTAAACGAGCCAAATTAATATTAGTCAAGATGTTGGGTACCACCTTAAGAGACAAGTTAGATATTTGCTTTTAATGACAATTAATATCAGTATAAGAAGTGGTTTGATTGCCAATGGGACAACTATGCATCATAGAAACAATGACATATATAAAAGCAACTACTATATGTCACATTAAAAAATTCAGTAAAACCAATACCGTATAGTAAGCTATAAAAGGTCCCGCAATGACAAAATGTAAAACACTTCAAACGAAAAAACCAATTACCACCCTAACCTTTGACAGTGGTGTAAAAGCACAACATAAGGACAAACTATAAATTCAGTTGAAAAAGCTCAACACATCAGATAGACACAAAGCACAACAACAACTAATAAAAACACTAAAGACACAAAGTACTGATGTAAGAGTACTCACAGTAACTGAAAGATAGTTCAAATTAGATTACAACTAATAAATAAATCATGTTTCCCAGACTAAAATAAACCAGTAGGTCAAATTCAATATTGAAAAAACAAATTATGATTATTGTAATTGCTTTTGAACACGGGTTAAGAGTAGAACGTATATGATATCAAAAACCGTAAAGGTGAATTTTGTCAACAAAGTTAGCAAATAATTAATACGACTGACAAACCATTACAAATATCCCTTATTTTATTTAATTATTGATATTCTCTTCCTGTGACAAAGAACACTTTAATTTGGTGAAAAATGATATAAAAAAATTAACAAAAACATTTACTGAAAATAAGATAGAAAATATTTCACCTGTAACAGAAGATGAAATGAAGGATATTTTAGCATCTATGAAAAAAAATAAATCTGCAGATGAAGAAAATATGGCAGCTGAACACTTGAAATATGGTGGACCTATTATGATAACTACATTGACTTTTTTCGTAAATTTTATTTTAAAAATATTTACATATTCCAACTTTATTGAAAGGTGGCATTGCTTGTCCTGTTTTTAAAAGTGGAAAACCAAAACTTGACCCGAACTCATATCGGAAAATTACTATTACTAGTACAGTAGGAAAAGTGGTCGAGAAAATTCATTTATCCCGAAATAAAACTTTTTTAACTAAGAACCAAACTAAACTACAAAAAAGAGTTACCTCTGGAGAAATGCCTATTATTGCAGCTTTAATTTTAACAACTCATAATCAAAGCAATTAAGACAAAATCACCACTATATGTGGCTGTAATGTATGCAAGGAAAGCCTTTGACATTGTTTTGCATCTCGGCTTAATGAGAGAATTGCAAAAGTTTGGTCTAAACGGGGACATCTGGTTATTTAAAAAAAAAATGGTATTAAAATCTCAAATCAAAAATTAAACAGAAAGGGCTGCTTTCTACATCAATAGAGGAACGACAAGGTGTAAGGCAAGGCGGTATTTGGTCACCGACAGCATACAAGGTTTTTATAAATTCACTTTTACAAACTTTTGAAAGAAATCAATTAGGAGCGTGTGTAGCACCCATTTATTGTAGTTTTCCAACTGTAGCGTACGATGTTGCGCTAATGTAAACAGATCCTTATGAATTACAAACAATGCTGAATGTTTAGGCAGATCATGCCAACAAACTACGGTATTTACTTAGGGAGGAAAAATAAAATATTTTGGTATATAATGACTAATCGTCAAAGTCTTGGACATTAAATGGTAAACCCGTACCACTATCTGAATCAGCAGTTCATTTGGGAATAGATAGAAATATTACTTCAAATACCGGGGTGAAAGAGTTGTGAGTAAGCGTATTATTACAGCGAAGAAAACCGTATACTCTCTCATGGGTGCAGGTTTACACGGTTTGAATGGAATCAATCCAAAAGTTTCTGTGCACTTGATACAAATATATGTTCTACCTATACTTCTGTATGGTTTAGATGTTATGTCTCTCTGAAATGCAGATATCCAAAAGATGGAATTATGTTTTAGACAACTATTAAAGCAAATACAGCACTTGCCAAAACGCACATCAATAACTGCAACTCTATTGTTATTAGGACGTATCCCTATAGAAGGAGAAATATACAAGAACATTCTGAAACATTTGGAAATATAATTAGAAATGATAAATCCGTTGAAAGAGACACTGCTTTTAGACAGATCGCTATGAAAGATGAAAAATCGGGAAGCTGGTTTACAAAACTTCATAAATTAACAGAAACTTATCAATTACAGTCGCCTCATGATTTCATTGAGAATCCACCAACAAAGCTTAGCTAGAATATACATGTTAATAACTGTATTCATAATTAATTTTTACAAAATTTGAAACTGGAAGCAAAAGGGAAATCGGGCATAATGATTCTTCAGTATCAGAGGTCTAGATTTTCAAAAAACTGTTTGTGTATTTCAGCATACTGTCAATTATGTAACATTGAACTAGAAGATGTGACTCATTTTATACTTAGATGTGAAAAGCTGTCAAGCATAAGAAATCGCTTTATTCAAGAGCTAAAATCTTTTCTTTATACTCATACAGGAATTATTTGATAGTGAAGACAAACTTTTACATTTGATTATTGTCTACACAACATATCATTTTCTTAAATGTAAGGAACAAGTCCGTATTGAGACATTAACCAGAGGTCTATGCTACAAACTTTACCACAAACGTTTATTTTTAATGCCTTAGTAAATTTATTCTAATGAGTGGAGGTTTCAAGGAAAACAAAATTATTATATTTTATTTCTGCTAGCATTACGATATGCATTTGATTTATATTTACACTGGATTTTAACAATGGAAGTTATTCTATTATATATATTGAGGTGGATAGAGTATGAACTGTAAACTCGTATCCAAGGTTTATGAGAAGAAGTCAATTGATTTTAGATTTTAAGAACTACTTGGTCGATTTGCGTATACTATATAAGTAAACGCTTGACTGTAGAGCAGTGGAAATCTTTTAGATTTTATGATAAAGTGGATTGTGTTTGAATAGTAAAAACGTTTATCCGGGGGCAGGAGTTATTTGTATGCAGAATATATAGATTATGAAAGGCTGGACAATTGGATTAAGTATCCGAAAGAATAACTTTTAATTGTAGTTACATTCGTTTATATGGTGATGGATTAGTCCGCATGCTGTAGATAAGCTGGTGATTTATTAACTTTAAGTTTATGTACATAAAGTGTCCGCCAATTTTAAGAATGCTCCGTGTATGAGGGATAAGGGTGCAAATAAGTACGCTGTAGAAGCGAACCTCCTGCTAGAGGTGGAAGATAAAGACTAGTAGGTTTTAGGTAACAGGTATTCGTCTGGTCACGATAATATTGGTAACCTGAACATCGTCAATTAAACTTCTCTGCGAAATGTGTTAACCAAATGTCCGAGATACCTTTTAAGTGTCTTATATATCCTGTTCTTTGTATGTTACCATCTTTCCATCTGGAGGTAAATGGTATATCAAGGTGCAGGGTAAGCGCCTTTCACTGTATTCTCTTTAGTCTGTGGAGGTACTTTGCATCTGCTACTAACCATACTTGTCATCTGTATTCAATAACTGATCTGACGAGACAGTCATATAGTTGTAGTAATTTCTGTGTTTCCATTTTACTAAAAATATCCAAATAAATATGAATAACTAAATATAAAGCAGCGTATCATATTCTGATAATCAATGATTCTGGTCATTTTTATATATTCTTCTTTTCAACTTTCAGGTGTTTTACAGAAATTCAAATGGGAAAATTGTATGACAATAGACAGATACTCCTGGGGATACCGACGAAATGCCGCACTCGGATCCTATCTGACTATTCATCAAATCATTTCAACTTTTGCATCCACAATCAGGCAAGTAAAATATCTGCATGGTCATATGTTTGTAACCAACAGTTATCTTATAAAATGTAGAGAAAACAGACACTAGCTTTTGATTAAAGAAGCATTCACAACTTGTCTGGATTCTGATCATTATTAATTAGTTCTAATCATTTCAAAAATGTAGTCTTAGGACAAGAAAATTTGTAACAAATGGAAACCAAATAATCACAAGGCTTACGTGCGTCGACTGAAATGTGTAATTATGAAAGAAATGCTTATATAATATTATAAAACGAAGCACATTTGAAGGTATTTTTTAACGAAAGGAAACTTGTATCATATTTTTGATAGATAAAAATCTAAAAGACAACAACAATCATAGACAATTTTTGTGACTTTTGAAAAACATGCATATTCCGACATGTTTGAGAATACAAAATGTATCATCTATTTAAAACTTTTTTACTCAGTTTTATATCAACGATACCCGATTGGTTGTATAATATTTCCATAAGACGTCTTCATATTTGTGACATTTGAATTTAGTAATGGTTTCACCAATTTGATGAATTGTACTTAATGAACTAATTTTTAGAAGGAGACATATTGCTGCCATTAATGCCTAAATATATCCCCTGTTGACACTATAATTGTACATGTATCAAAAGGCCGTCGCGATATGAAACGTTTTAAAATGAGCGGTTTCTTTTAATAATGTCCGTTAATAAAAAAACACACTTTCCATTGGTGAATGCAGGACTAGCAAGATGACTTTGCCTGTCCAATTAGTTATTATACCGCAACAAATAAAGTTTGGGGCCGATATATAGGAATCGGCATGTTCCATTGAGTTATTCCTCTTTCATCTTGGATATTTGTGCGCTGTCCAGCACCGATTTTGTCATCGCAACTCCCTCTTCTTTTTAGCACATCTGGTCGAAAGGCCAAGTTCTCAACACTTAGCGTCCGTCGTCGTCATCGTAAACTTTTACAAAAATCTTTTCCTCTGAAACTTCTGGGCCAAATTTAACCAAACTTTGTCACAATCATTATTGGGGTATCTTGTTAAAAAAATGTGTATGATGACCCAGCCTGCCTACTAACATGGCCGACATGGCTAAAAATAGAACTTAGGGGTAAAATGCAAGTTTTGTCTATTATCTTGAAAACCACTATGAATATAGAAAATCTGACAGTGGCAGAAATGTTCAAAATGTTGATATCTACCTACTGTCTTTTTACGTGAAAACTGTGAGAAGACTTCATATAGGAGTTATTGCCCTTGAATGTCAGATATTAGCATTTTTTTGCTTATTATTTTGAAATATATAAAAAAGATGGAGAAAACTTTACAAAGAAAAAAATATCAACAAGTCACGATCTACAAATAAGTCAACATGGCCGAAATAGTCAGACGACTCCTTGTTAACTTTTACAAAAATCTTCACCTCTGAAACTACTGGGCCAAATTTAACCAAACTTAACCAGAGTCATCATTGGGGTATGTGTATGACGAACTTGCCTGCCAACCAGCATGGCCGACATGGCTAAAAACAGAATAAAGGGGTAAACTGCATGTTTTTTTCTATTTAATATCTTGAAAACTGCTATGAATATTAAAAATCTGACAGGGGCAGAGAAGTTCAGAATGTTGAGATCTACCTGATGTCCGTTACGTCAAAACTGTCAAACAACTTCTTAAAGGAGTTATTGCCCTAAAATGTCAAAATTTATCATTTTTTTTTTCATTTTTGTCAACGATTTTGAAAACTATAAAGATACAGAGAAACTTTTTAAGTCTATTATAAGGAAAAATAATTAGCAAGAAAAGATCAACAAATAAATTAACATCAATGAAATCGTCAGACGACTCTTTATTGGAGTTATTGGTCTTTAATTGTCTCGTCATGACCTATTCAAAAAGCGAGACATAGGTATGCTGTTTCCGGCGTAGGCGGCGGCGTCAAAAATGTATTAGTTTGTGATTAGGTCAGTTTATGGGGAACCACTAGTAGTAGGTCAATGATATTTGGAATTCAGTTGTATTAGCATTGGCACATCTCATTTCCATGTATATTTTTTCGCCCCGCCCCTCAGTCATGGTCTATTGACTTGAAACTTTTGCTTAGTTTACATGTATTAGTTTGTGATTAGGTCAGTTTATAGGGAACAACTGGTGGTAGGTCAATGATATATTTGGTATGCATTTGTATAGGCATTGGCACATCTCATTTCCATAACAAAATTTAGGCCCCACCCCTGCAGTCATGGTCGATTGACTGAAACTTTTGCTTAGTTTACATTTATTAGTTTGTGATTAGGTCAGTTTATAGGGAACAACTAGTGGTAGGTCAATGATATATTTGGTATGCATTTGTATTAGCATTGGCACAACTAATTTCAATGGAGATTGTTTGGCCCTGTACCTTCAGTCATGGTTCAGTGACTTGGAATATTTTGCATAACTTACATGTTAAAGTTTTGCTATTTTTATGTCAACATTTGCATTTTGCTATCAAAATAACAAAAAGGTGAGACATATCTCTGTGTTAATTGTTTATGAATATTTTTACCATATGTATGCGTTTTTGCCTTATATCAAAAATACTAAAATAGATAGATCTACACATAAGTCAACTTGACAGTTATCGTCAGTCTACTCCGCCCTTTAATGTTTATTTTTCCCAGTATTTTGTATTTTTGCTTGTTAGAATCATGTGCAAAACAGTGTAGCCGAGACCATTGATTGGCGAGCTAAAATATCCCATTGACTGGATCAGATTAGGTGAACGTACGTCTGTGACGCCCACAACTCACGACGTATTTATTATAAACATTTAAACTGTGGGGTTGCCAAAGGGTCTCAGTATATATACGAACTACAGTGCACAGTATATTATATACATATTTTATTTGCGATCATAAAATGTACGAAGTCGTCCATTACTATGTAAATTGGGTCGATTAAAAAAAAGCTGAATATGTTTCTGTTGCCAAGGGTTTTTCACAAGTATAGTAGTTAGCAGAAAAGTTCACCAAACTATACATTTTACCTATTCAAAAACGTAAATGCAAATTCCACAAGGCTTGATCCAAATAGCCTTTTTATTGTCTAATAACTTGCAAGTACGAAAAAGACAGGACAGAAGTATATTTTGTCTGTATGTTTGTGTACGCACACTTTTTAAAGTTGATCATGCATTCGTTCTAAAATAAAATTTTGACCAGATAAAAGTTAAAAGATGACATAATTGGACAACCGCAATTGTTAAATCGCTTTGACGTCCGAAAAAAAAGATAATAATCAACACATGCATTGTAACTTTGAAAGCCAGTTAAATCCTTTTTTTTTTGCTGAAAGAACGTGCGATATCATAAAAATTGATTATCAAAACAAAACGAAAACACAAGTAAAGAACGTTTAAGTATTCAATATAAATCAAAACACAAAGGTTATTCCTGATTAGTTTTTCGAATTATTTTATTTAGTCGTTGAGACCCTTTGGTGACCCCACAGTTTAAATGTCTATAATAAATACGTCGTGAGTTGTGGGCGTTACAGACGAACGTTTACCTAATCTGACCCAGTCAATGGGATATTTTAGCGCACGAATCAATGGTCTCGGCTACACTGTTTTGCACATGATTCTATATTGAAATCTATAATAGATAGATAGAAACTTTATAAAGCAAAATTGATCAGCAAGATAAGATCTACAAATAAGCCATCATGGCTGAAATCCTTATTCGACTCGTTATTGAATAATGCCCCCTAAAGATGATTTTTACCATTTGTTTTAGTTTTGCCTATTCACTGAAAAAGTATAATAGATGCAAATGTAGATAGAAACTTACAATAGCATAAATGATCAGCAGGACACGATCTGCAAATATGTCAACATGACTGAAGTTGTCAGTTAACAGTGCAACATATACAGTTAAGTCTGCCTCACATCTTGACTTACATCTATAAATTGACAATGAGGGTAGGTCGAAAACAAAACTTTACGACAAAAGAGATGACTTCAGCTTGCCAATTGTGAATTTTTCATTTATATGTAGCAACTTTCCAGCAGCCCCTGCATATGGCGTATATATCTCCTAGCTGATTACGATATTCCATGGCTTGCATTACCTATCATGATTTCCTTGATAGAGGGTTGCTGCTCACAAGGAAGCTATTAAACCAAGAGTTCCAAGTGGTGAAGTTGAAGTCAGCCCTTCGAAAATTTTACGGACGCCATCACGAGTTAGTTGACCGTTATGGAATATCTGTTTAATAGATGACGATGGATATGTTCCAATCGTCGTAAACACAATCCCGTCCTCCATTGTCCCGAATGTGACTTACCGAATTAGACTTATCACCGGGTTTGTACTAACATGAGCATAACGACGGGTGCCACATGATCTGCTTACCCTTTCGGAGCACCTGAGATCACCCCTGGTATTTAATATGGTTTATGTTGCTCAGTCTTTAGTTTTCTATGTTGGGTTCGTGTGCTGTTGTTTGTCTTTTGGTCGTTTTTCTGTTTTTGCTGTGGCGTGTTAGTTTATTTTCGACTATATACTGTTTCCGGTGTCGGCGTCGGAGGCTTCAACAATGTATTAGTTTGTGATTAGGTCTAGTTTATGGTTGAACCACTAGTGGTAAGTCAATGATATTTGGTATGCAGTTAAATTAGCATTGGCACATCTCATTACCATGGAGATTATTTGGCCCTGCCCCCTCAGTCATGGGCTATTGACTTTCAATCTTTGCTTAGATTACATGTATTAGTTTGTGGTTTTAATTTAGGTCAACTTATAGGGAACCACTAGTGGTAGGTCAATGATATTTGGTATGCAGTTGTATAAACATTGGCATATTTCATTTCCATGGAGATTATTTGGCCCCGCTCCCTCAGTGATGGTCTATTGACTTTGAAACTTTTGCTTAGTTTATATGTATCATAAGCATTATCACATCTCATTTCCATGGAGACTATTTGGTTCTTATCTCTCAGTCATGGTCTATTGACTTTGAAACTTTTGCGTAGTTAACGTGTTTTAGTTTGTGATTAGGTCAGTTTAAGATGAACCACTAATGTTAAGTCAATGATATTTGGTAAGCAAATGTATTGGCATTTGAAAGTTTCATTTCTATGGATATTATAGAGCCCACACCCTCTCATCATGGTTCTTTAAATTTGAAATTATTACATAGTTTACAAGTTAATGTTTGTGTTTAGGTTTGTTTAAAGTCAACGACTTATAAAAAGTCAATGGTATTTGGTATTCAGTTGTATTAGCATTTGCACATCTCATTTCCATGGAGATTGTTTAGCCCTGTACTTTCAGTCATGGTTCTTTCACTTTGAATATTTGCATTTCTTACATGTTAAACTATTGCTATTTTAATTTCAACATTTGCATTGTCAAAATAACAAATAGGCGAGACATATCTCTGTGTTAACAGTTTATTCTATAGAAATGTGCCTTTGAACTTAGAAAATATTTTGGTTTTCAGAATCGACTTTGTAATCGCAACTCATCCTACATAGTTTATAATATCTACATGGTATTCATGATATTAAGTACATTGTTAGATAATTATATGCAGGTGATGTACTTGTGAGTAAGATGTTCCTTTCCATTGAGTTTTATTTGATTTATGCCCGTTTCAACAAAGAAATTTTGGCCTTATCCTGCACTGACATCTCAACTCCCACATGTTTAATCGTTTTTCTAAAGTAATGGCCAATTGAACCCAAACAATTGTGTCAAAGCAGCTCTTCAAAAATGGTTCAATAATTCTATATGAAAACATTTGATGTCGCAAAACATCCTTTTATGATAATATTTAGGAAGTAATTTTTCTATTTGAAAATAATCATCTTGCTTTTTATGGTAGTTGTGGTGGTAACATGCTGATGAATGTAGGACCAACAAAATACGGCAAAATCATACCAATATTTGAAGAAAGACTCCGTCAGTTTGGCCAATGGTTGAAGGTCAATGGAGAGGGAGTTTACAGTACGGTTTCATGGAGTCACCAGAATGATACAGTAACTAGAAATACATGGTATGACATTTATTAAATTGCTTAACACGAAATTGAAAAAGGAATGCAAAAAGAACAATTAATGAATTGAATGGTTATTCTAATACAGTAATACATGTTTGAAAGACATATTCATGTAAATGTACTACAGTATTTGCCTCTCTTTGCTAGGTAAATCTCGAGATTAATGTCAGATATAATTTAAACTGGTTTGTTCTATTATTTCTGACACCCAAATGATTGAACAAAATTTTCGAAATTAAAAAGAAATAATGGTAAAATCACAGTTCAATAATAGCAATTGCATGCTAAAGAAATAAATGAATTACTAGTAATCTCTAATTTCTCTGATTGAATAAATCTCTTAAACCGTTGTTGCTTTTACAGGTATACCAAACGAAAAATGGAGAATGAAGGAACTGTGGTTTATGCATTTCTCCTTTCATGGCCTACCGACACAGTTCTGAAATTAGGAGCACCGATCCCATCACAACAAACAGAGGTCAGCATGCTTGGTTACCCAGACAAATTTATTTGGAAAGCTGGTCCAGGAGGCCAAGGAATTTATGTCACTATACCAATTATACCATGGAACAAACTACCATGCGAATGGGCATGGGTACTTAAACTAACACATATATCAAATTAGACTTAAAGTGTATTTGATGATTGGTTTGGATATGTCTAATTGTGTCACAAATACCAGATTTTATACGTTTATGAAACAAGTCATTGAATCATGACTGATAAAAGATACTATGAAACATATGAAATACTGATTATCTTTATCAATAGGAGCGTAGAATGTGCAACAGATTTTCTTTTCGAACCTTATAGTGGCACATACTTTTTTGATATGACTCTTACAATCGAGAGGTTGACAACTGAATTGAATTGTACGGTTAAAACATTTTTAGTTGATAAATGTTCTGAATGGCATTTATTTCATGTATTCTTATGAATGAACTTTGCATAGTTGTTTACATTTTTCACAGAGCAGTAGTGAAAATGAAGCAGAAGAAAGAAAGGGGCAATAAAAAAATTGCATTGAAATAATATTTGTTTTAATGTGATATTATCTGAATTAAATGATGCCTCAAAAGAAATATCACATGGGCATATTTTCTCTGAAGTCTTTGATATATTCTGATTCTGAAAGCAAATTATTTGATTACTGTAAATTAATATGTTCATGTGATTTTAAACCAAAAAAGTACTGTTTATATCTATATTTGATTAATGGACGCATTTGAGTTTGAGTTTATGTTTTTTCATGTATCAATGTATAACCGTCCGTGTAAATTTTATTTCTTATATTAGTGCTATATGTTTGTCAGTAATATGATTTGTGGTCCAAATGTATATATTTCTAATTCAGTTCCTCTTAGAGTTAGATACTTTTTAAGTCTTTAACAGTTCTTCGACAGTTAGTATTGTTAGTTTGTTATTGTAATTTTTCTATGCCTCGCCTGCAATAAAGGGGCATTATGTTTGACTGTCTGTGAGTGCAACCGACCGTCTTGTCCCCTACCGGATTGAAGTTTTGGTTAATTGTAAGTTTCATATAGTTAAACCCAATGTTGTAGAAATCATGTTGAAAGATAGGTAGTGCAAATGTTCATTATGATATGACATTTAAAAAATATTTGCAAAAATAAATGTTTCGACCCAGATTTCACAGTTCACGGAATATTAAATTGTGACTGTTAAAAAGGTTTAAAGTCCTATTGACACATGTTTTTGATTTTAATTAATCATGAAAGTATAACTTAATTATTATTTCAAAACTTAGGGATCTGAATACCCTGTTACATCTGTATAAACCATTTTAAATTAATTGGATGTAGGACATTTACATAAATATAGGATTATTTCTGTAAAATATAAAAAATAAAAGACGGTGATTTCACCTAAAGTTTGCGTAAACAAGACGATTTTTTTCTATGTGTTTGTTCTTGGTATTTTCATTTATTTGAATTTGTTATCCTCAATTATCCTATTGTATTATATTAAAAATCTTAATGACAAGTTTGTATTCTTTTTGCTATAAATGCAATATTCACTTAAAACCTCTCTTGCTATGAAGCCCTTTTGTGTCTGCAGGAAGGGTCAATACGTGGCCACCAACGTTCCAGTGATTGGACACCACGTTGAATTAATTACATTATGGAAAGTATGGCCAGCTCAGAGCGCACAGATCCCACTTGCAATTTGGAATTTTATGCATCCGAGGCGCTTTTTTGGATTAACCTTTACCAGGAACGCTCAAATAAAGGCAACAGTAGTATACCGCTGTTCTAAATTCATAAATCGATTGAGAAAAAAACAAATCCGGGTTACAAACTAAAACTGAGGGAAACACATCAAATATAAGAGGAGAACTACGACACAACAGAAACACAACATTAAAATGTAACACACACAGAAACGAACTATAATATAACAGTGGCCATTTTCCTGACTTGGTACAGGATATTTTAAGAAAAAAATGGTGGGTTGAACCTGGTTTTGTGGCTAGCCAAACCTCCCGCTTTTATGGCAATGTTAAATATAACATTAAAATGACAACATTACATGACAGGACTACAATACAAATAAATGGGAGAACACATAGGACAGAGAAACATACGAATAATAGCTAACAAAAGGTACCAGGTTTAAAATTTAAGACGCACGTTTCATCCACACAAGACTAACCAGTGACGCTCAGATCAAAAAAGTTCGAAAGCCAAAACAAGTACAAAGTTGAAGAGCATTGAGGACCAAAAGTTCCAAAAAGTTGTGCCAAATACGGCTAAGGTTATATGTCTGGGATAAGAAAATCCTTAGCATTTAGAATAATTCATACTTTTGCAAACAGTAAATTTATACAAATGACTATAAAATGGATATACATGATTACACCGAAGTGGTGACTAACTACAGAATAAAAACGGATACATAAAACAACATAAACCAGCACATAAAAATTCACAGCCGAGTCAGCCAAAGAGATCAACGCCAAAAAAAAAGGTGACGTCACATTTGAATTTCTGAAATTTCCCCAAAATAGGATAGAATTAGGATAGAATTCAAGATTTGGTTTAAAATACTCATATAACATTTATTAATAACCAAAATAACCAAAGCCAATAATTTGAAAGCCGATGATGTATAAGACTACATCTTTCTAAGTTTATGGAACAATAATGTTTGGTCTATAGAATCCTTGCTAGGTCTACGTGTCAATTAGACAGAATTCACACGACCTCGACCTCATTTCATGAATCATTGGTCAAGGTTAAAGTTAAGTGATGAAGTCTATTGCTGAGATAGTTTGAGCTTTAGGTCAACCATATTTGTTTTATGGAATGATTGTAAGGTGTACATGTCAGACTGGCAGGTTTCATTAGACATTGACCTCATTTTCATGGTTCATTAGTCGATTTTAAGTTTTTGCGTTTTGGTGTGTTTTGAAGATACGTAATAACTATAAGCAACTGGTCAACTATGTTTGGAAAATGACACGATTGTAAGGTGTACATGTCTGTCTGTTAGGTATTATCAACCCTTGACCTCATTTTCATGTTAAGTTTTTGTGTTATGGTCTGTTTCTTAGATACTATAAGCAATAGGTCAGCTCTATTTGGTGTATAGATCCTACAAATTAATGCAAGATACAGTCACAGAAATCATTAAATATATTAGTACGTCTGAACAAGTGACAACTCTACAACAGATATATATATATAGATATCAGGCGAGCGTTTTGTCTACAAAGACTCAACATTTTCATGATTTATTTGTCAATGTCAAGTTTTCGTGGTTAGGTTTGTTTCTATAAGCAATAGCTTATCTGTTTTTGCTGTATGGAATTATTGCAAGGTGTACATGTTTATCTGTCAGGGTTTATCTGACCTTGACCTGATTTACTTATTGTAAGGTGTACATGTTGATCTGTCATGGTTTATCTGACCTTGACCTGATTTACTTATCTACAGCAGATTTATCCATCGGATCACCAGCAGTGATGGTGATACATGGCTGTGTACATTCTGTATATACAACTCGTTTAAACATTAGCCCTACAATGTTAGATCTGTAAATTTGCTTTCGCAAATTTTTTGTTCTTCCCTCGCCGGGATTCGAACTCATGCTACTGAGATATCGTGACACCAAATCGCCTGCACTGTATCCGACGCGCTAGACCACACGACCACCTAGGCTTCACAATAATAAAGCTTTCGGTGGCCGGGTGTTACCTTTCCTCGTCAGTTTTAATCTAGCGTCGTAATACAGTACATGATATATAAGGCATGAAGATGGAATTGTTACAGATCAGCTGAAATATCTATTGTAAAGGATCCTACAAATTAATGCAAGATACAGTCACAGAAATAATTATATTTATAAGTACGTCTGAACCAGTGACAACTCTACAACAGATATATATATATATAGATATCAGGCGAGCGTTTTGTCTACAAAGACTCAACATTTTCATGATTTATTTGTCATGTTAAGTTTTCGTGGTTAGGTTTGTTTCTATAAGCAATAGCTTATCTGTTTTTGGTGTATGGAATTATTGCAAGGTGTACATGTTTATCTGTCAGGGTTTATCTGACCTTGACCTGATTTACTTATTGTACGGTGTACATGTTGATCTGTCATGGTTTATCTGACCTTGACCTGATTTACTTATTGTAAGGTGTACATGTTAATCTGGCAGGGTTTATCTAACCTTGACCTGATTAACATGGATCATTAGTGAGATAAATTTATGTGATATTTGTAGTTAAAGTTTTCTAAAAAAAACTCTCAAATTTAATTGTATCGTGATCAGTGAAGGAGATGACCATTTGCAAAACTTGAATGAACAGTTTTTCCAGTTATATGTTATTTGAATATGTTGAACCAAATTAATTCATACACAGATAGGTAATTAAAATTGGAAGTAATAATGCCGACATTTGCACTGAAAGTGATAACTGTACATGTATTGTTTGCAAAACCAGCGTTAAATGTACATTCATGTTCTGAATGTAAATACACGGTGCATGTAATTTACACGCAAAGAAATAGCAATAAAGGTTATGGAACGCTTATTTCAAGATTTTTGCGTTGCAATAAACAAGGACTTCAAACTGAGATAGCTAATGTAACTTAATGTTAACAGTACAGAAAAACAGAAAGAATGCATGCTTGTCAGATCGAAAAACTTTTAGGAGGATTCGGACATTGTCTGTTATGTTATGATACCGATTCCGATCGCGAAACGGTAGACCCCAAAAATATAATTGCTATCGTTCATAAAAATACTGAAAAGAGATATCGCCGTGCTATAAAACATGGACATACACAAGAATTGCGGACAGCTCAGCTGGATGGCTTTATCAGCTACCACACAGAGAACCGTAATCATTGAAATTTTTTTAACGTTATTGTCTATGGGGAATTATGACCACTAGCTAAATAAACGAATACTATGTCTATTTTATAAATCTCATATAAAATTAATAAATTATAGAGATCTCACCAATTTTTTAGCTTTGAAATGGTGTAATAAAATCCACTTTATCTTGATATTTACTGTTGTCCCTATCTTGTTGAACGTCGGGTTCTCTTTTGGTTGAGATATGTTAAATTACGAGGTATACATATTTTATAAAAAATCATATTAAATTCATTTTTTATTGTAAATCAAATTAACAAATTATACAGTATGGGCAAATAATTTTCCTATCAAATGGTATAAGAATTCTCATTTTAAAATAATGTTTTCTGTTGTCCCTAAGCATTTGAAAGTGAAACTTCATTATTTATGAATACGATGTATATTCATTCAACTAAGATTGACCGTATTCAAAGACAAATTGGTTTTGTTATTTAGTTGAATTCTCATTTTTTATGATGCGAACTTCTTTTTAATTACATCCATCATTTTAAATATCTAGTTAGGTTTTAAACAATATATTAATTTCTATTATACCAAGAGTTCTTTAAACATCAGAATTTTAAAAGTAGTGTGGTTTTGTTGACATCTTGAAGAAAAATATGCAAAAAGTGTTTCTTTTTTCTTTTTTTTAAATGCTCTGTCTAATTAATCTTACTTTGATTTGAGTAATTATATTATTATTATCAAATATTTGAATACACAATTGCATGATGGCATTATTGAAAAAAAATGTCTACGAAATCTGAAAAACTAAATTGAAATAGAAAAGATGACAACATGCAATTTTTAATGTTATTCAAAACATACAAAATTTTATACAAGTTTTGTATAATGAAAAGGTATAGGGAATATTATTCTTATCATTATAAGAAATGATCAAAGAAGTAAATGCAAGTATTTTGAATGTATACAGTAAGATATCATAGCATCAAAATCATTGTTAGGATATGCTATCTTTATGTTCTCCTTCATACCGTCATTAATCTTATTGTTCAGTACAAGGATTTGTATAGTACTATACAAATCCTTGTTTAGTATATTCATAAAATGTCGTTTAATAATACAAATGACGAAAAACATCGAAGTCCTTTTTAAGAAAAGCTCCATAATTATCGATCTCAGCTAACATATAAACACGAATGTGTCAATATTTACATAGTATATTGTATAAGCGTCCCATGGTGCCACAGCAAATCCTTTCCGGTGCTGTATCACTATTCAATACCATATGTTACTATTTTATCTTATCATTTAAGTATTACATTGAAAATATAGTAGTCCACGCACAAGAGCTTGTTGGGAGACCCCCTTTTTTATTTTTTTGCAGTTGATTAATAATTTCAAAATAGTCTTTTCACATCAACTTTTTTACCTTGTCTAAAGTGTTCAAACTCTTATCAATGCGATTTAACAATAATAATGTATGTATGTTGCCCTCTATTCTTATGTTTAAGAGTATTCTACAATAAGAATATAGGGTAACACATATAAACTAATTTTATAAAGTAAAAAAAAAAATTGAGATACGGCTGAAATATGAACGAATATTTTCAAATAAGATTAATTACAACAAAAAAATAATTATAAAATTAAC